ACATACATACATACATACATACATACATACATACATACATTAAGGCAATCCTTTCTACTGCTACAGGTGCCTTCCCCAAACTTACAAAACAACACAGTACATCTCTCAACAGCCATGAAAATGTTGATGCAAAACACATTTGAACCAAATATTGGTCTTCTCTAGTGAATTTGCAAGGTCAAAGCTATAATATCTCACCTTAATAAGGAGAAAAATATAAAAGCTTATCCTTCAGCCAAATATTTTAAATGCATTTAATTTTTTAGAGACTCCTCCAAAAGTTTAGATTATTGAATGTATTTATTGGCAACCCTATATCCCAACTTCATTATTTAATTTAAAAAAAAACATAGTTATGATGGACTGCTCTGAGAAGGGAATTGTTATCTGAAGTAAGCCTAGACTTATAGATTGCTGTTAATATGGTTTTGTTACTCTGTGCAGTGTAGAGGTTTCCTTCCATTAGTTAGATTGATCTAATCCACATTGATGCTTTTTATAATGTATTGGATCGACAATACTGTTTTGATGCATTTGAAGAAATTGATGAATGCTGTAGCGTTTTCCACTTCATTCAGTCCACAAAACACATTTCTTCTTCAATCGTGGACATGTCATAAGAGCAGAAATCTATTGAAAGTGAAGATTGCAAACAATAAAATTCTAGCAACGGCTTTTTTGCCCATAAAACTGGACAGCTGCCTTGGTTTCCCTTCTGCTCTAATTAGGTCTGACAAGTTTACAGTGCTGCGTTTATAGAGAGTTTCCTTGCCCATACAAGGCATTTAAAGTCAACGATGACATCTCTCTTTAGAAGTGACTCTGTGCAGATGCTGAAGACAGTTCTTCCAATCCTAAATTGGTTAAAGAGTTACAGAGGAAATGCCCAGTTTTGAAGTTTCTGCTCCCCTTGTGTCTCAAATTTTCCTTTTATAAGATATCCGAATTTCCTTTCTAACTGATGAAAGTCTTCAGGCTGCTGGGTTGTGAGTCCTCCAGGAGCTTTTAATTTAAACATACAAATATGGATGGTGATATTTTAAAATCTAAGTCTTCGTTGTTGTTAGTTGTGAAGTCGTGTCCAACCCATCGCGACCCCATGGACAACGTTCCTCCAGGCCTTCCTGTCCTCTACCATCCCCTGGAGTCCATTTAAGCTCACACCGACTGCTTCAGTGAACTCCATCCAGTCACCTCATTCTCTGTCGTCCCCTTCTTCTTTTGTCCTCAGTCGTTCCCAGCATTAGGCTCTTCTCCAGTGAGTCCTTCCTTCTCATTAAGTGGCCAAAGTATTTGAGTTTCATCTTCAGGATCTGGCCTTCTAAAGAGCAGCCAAGGTTGATCTCCTCTAGGACTGACTGGTTTGATCACCTTGAAGTCCAAGGAGTCACAGGAGTCCTCTCCAGCACCATAGTTCAAAGGCCTCAATTCTTTGGCACTCAGCGATTCTTATGGTCCAACTTTCACAGTCATACATTACAACTTGGAAAACCATAGCCTTGACTATACACACTTTTGTTGGCAGGATGATATTTCTGCTTTTTACTATGCTGTCTAGATTTGCCATAGCTTTCCTCCCCAGGAGCAAGCGCCTTTTAATTTCTTGGCTGCAGTCCCCATCTGTGGTGATCTTGGACCTCAGGGAAATAAAATCTGTCACTATCTCTAATTCTTCCCCATCTATTTGCCAGGAATTGAGAGGGCCTGATGCCATGCTCTTTGTTTTCTTAATGTTGAGTTTCAAGCCAACTTTTGCACTCTCCTCCTTCACCCGCATCAAGAGGTTCTTTAGTTCCTCTTCGCTTTCTGTCATTAGAGTGATATTATCTGTATATTTGAGGTTGTTGATATTTCTCCCAGCAATCTTAATTCCAATTTGTGATACATCTATCCCCGCTTTTCTTATGATGTGCTCTGCATATAAGTTAAATAGGCAGGGCGACAGTATGCAGCCTTGCCGGACTCCTTTCTCAATTTTGAACCAATCAGTGGTTCCGTGTCCAGTTCTCACTGTTGCTTTTTGACCCACATATTTCTTGTAGACGTACGACTTAGCCAGTGGGCAGACATCAACAAAAGATTGCCCACTGGGGGATAGGTACCATTATAGCATATAATTGTCATTGTTATTTGATTCCAGATGGATTATATTTCCTTCAAAGATCTGTTAGCAATTAATCTTGGGCAACCCAGACACCAAGTTGCAGGAGGCAGAACTCATTGTTTTTTGCATTGTTTCCATACCTCACCTTTTAATTTTCCTCGCAGAGGCCGTGAGAATCAGAAATGCTATGAAGTAAAATGTACACGAGGCTGGCGCTTCATGATGCAACATGGAAGGCATCTTGTTTAAATTGTCATTGTTGAATTATTTTTGTGTATGGTCTCAGTAGCATTGTTATTGTTTGCTAGAGGAACCAATTATGGGGGCTTTTTTCTCTAAGAAACTCTACTAAAATATAAACATGTCTATTGGTTATAGACTTTATACCTATATTAAATAATTACAATTGAAAATGCTGCAATTCTGAATTTTGTGTGTGTGTTTGTGTGGGTGTGCGGTTTCTCCACATAGGCCATTAGTTTCTGCAAAATATTGTGTCAGCATATTATCAGATTTTGAATATTGGGAGCGTGCTTAGTATACTGGGGATTTGGAGTGATCGTTTCTATTCAAAGAGTGTAGACCAAAGATGTCAAGCTCGATTTCATTGAGGGTTGTACCAGGGTTGTGTTTGACCTCGGGGTGGGGGTGGGGGGCTGAGGTGGGTGTGGCCAGAGTGGGCATGGCCATCTTGATGTCACTCGTGTCAGGGACGCCTGTGGTGGCCCAAGCGCTCTGCCAGCAAAAACGGGCTCCCAAGCTCCGTTTTCGGTTGTGACGGCCTCCTGCAACCCTTTGCCAGCAAAAACAGAGCTCGGGAGGGCTGCAAGCAGCCTTCCTGAGCTCTGTTTTCACTGGCAGAGGCACCGCGGGCCAGTCCTTCACTGTTTCCAGGTTGGCCCCGCAGGCCAGATCTAAGTACCCTCCAGACCGGTTCCAACCCCCAGCCTTGAGTTTGACACTCCTGGTGTAGACCTTTTTAACAGTTCCTACTGCATCCCTACTGTATGACCATAATCCAGCCTTACAGTTTTATGTTGTGATGGCTGTTAGGCGAGACAGCCTCACTTAACAACCCCCCAGTTTGAGCTACCTGTCTGCATACATATATGAAATTAAATTTATAAAATCATGAGATTTTTCCCAATTTTTACAAAATTAGTTGGAAAATGCAGTTTTCAGCCTTTACTGATTTAAATATCTGTCTCCCACCTATATTTTGGAAAAGCACGTGCTTTCTGTACTCCACAAAGCTAAGAGGAAAAGCTCACTATTTATAGATATCTCCAAGCCAATGTTACTGCCCTGGATTTTCTGAAACAAGTGGTCTGATCTGGGCCCTTTATATATTATACTGTACTCTCCTTCGAGAAAAGTTTGCTTTTTTAAACCTCTTTTTTCTTCTTCTTCTTTTCATTGCTGTGATTCTTTTCTTAGCTAGAGTGGTATCAAAATTGCATTGTTAGAACAGTAACTTTTATTCCTAATTCTAAATGCATTAGTGCTGTTATTGTTTCTGAAGAAATAGGTATAATTTTCCATTTCTTACAGCAGCACAGTTACACCCACAGTTTAGAAGCAAGGTGGGATTGTTCAGATGTAGTCATTTTTTTCATAATGAATTTATTTAGGAGTTACATTTAGTCAGCAATCCTGGCTTTAAAAGTTATACGAGTCATTCTTTCCTTTCCCCTCCCCCCCCAATAACAAGTAAATAAATTGTACAAGTGTATTTCTGTACTGGGAAAGATTTTGGGATAATCCTGGATTATGGCAAGCAGGTTATTTGCTTGTTTGCTCTTGTATAATTGTTTCCATATCCACTGCATGCCAGGTATACAAATTAGATTTAATATTGTTATGGATCCTAATTTGTGTGAGAATGATAAATCAGAATTTCTAGTTTGAATAGTACACTAAGCTGTTCCGTCTTTTTAGCTTTGTCCTTTTTCCATTTTATCAGTTTTAAGAAAAATTAACATATTTCAGGATTTAAGGCCGTGATGGCGAATTTATGGCACACATGCCACAGATGGCACGTGGAGTCATATCTGTGGGCATGCGAGCGTTGCCCTAGCTGAGCTCCAGTGTGCATGCGTGCGCCAGCCAGCTGGTTTTTGGGCCTTCTGGGCCCACCGGAAGTTGGGAAACGGGCCATTTCCTGCCTCTGGAGGGCCTCCGGGGGGGGAGGGAAGGCCATTTTCGCCCTCCCCAGGCTCCATGAAAGCGTCTGGAGCCTGGGGAGGGCAATAACGGGGCCCACCGGCCCACCGGTAACCCTTTTGCCATTGTGTGCCAAAAGCGGCGGGGGGGGCAGAGCGCGGGGGCATTGATTTATGGGTGTGGGCACGCACGTGACCCCCCCGCGCTCCCCCAGCTTTTGGCACGCAACGGCAAAAAGGTTAGCACACGGGAAGCATGTGCACATGCGGGTGGAGCTGGGCTGGGGCGACGGCTGGCGTGACTGCAGAGAGGGCTCTGCGTGCCACCTGTGGCACGCATGCCATAGGTTCGCCATCATGGCTCTAGACAATCCATTTATTCTGAGGTCTTCTGTAAATGCAGCTTGTATTTCTTTTCAACAGTGTTCCTCTAAAAAGGAAGGTTGGAGGCTAGACAAAAATTGTCCAGAGAATTTTTATATCCAATATAAACAAATACACACAGAAATATACAATGTTTATACATACACACACATATGCATACAGATGCATTTTTGAACTGATTACCACAAGTCAACGTGGCTCTGACTTCAGATAAATCTTGGAGGTGAAGGACAAGGTTCAGGAGTACTCATGAAGTGAATTTGGCAGAAGCTGTGGGAACTATAGGGCTAAGCAGCCTGCATTGTAAACTAACAAAGTCTTGTTTGTATTTGGCATTTTTATATGCTCAGGTGGATTTGCAGCTGCAGTGACCACTCCTCTGGATGTAGCCAAGACAAGAATTATGTTGGCAAAGGTAAGAACTTGACGAAGAGTGCAGAGATGGCTGGCAAGTTTTCAGATTAATAATTCTGGCATCTTGCTTGGTAGCAGCAACAAAACTGAATCCAGCATCTATTGCTAATTTAGTACAAGAATCATAATGAGAATAGGTACATTTCATTTCTGCATTGAATAGAAGAGCTGCTACCTTTCTTTTCTTCAATAAACTAATTCTAGGAGCAAAGTTGTATCTTTGAAAGACCAAGCAGCTTTCTAATTCACTGTTTTTTTTGTGTGACATGGGCGATAACAACATTTACAATAATGCTAATGATGAGTATCTGTTTGGTCGAATAAATGGGAAACTTTAAGTGCTTGACTATGAGCTGTAGAGCATTTTGTTCATTCATTCATTCATTCATTCATTCATTCATTCATTCATTAAGAAAGTGTATATGGTTGCCTCCATATAATATAAATATATTATTATTTCATATTATGTTACAAATATATATTAAAATGTTGTGTACAGTTGCCTCCATATAAATTATATAAATAATGAATTCCCTCACTGTGAGTCCTGGAGGTTTACAGAAATAAAATCCCAAATATAAAACCCTATAAAAGCAACCACTTAATGGGCTTTATATTCTCTTGGAGTCCCTAGGCCTATTGACAAAACGATGTCTTCAAGGCCTTTGGAAAGAGTATCAAAATGGAGGCCGATCTTATCTTCACAGGGGTGATGTTCCACAAGGAGGGAGCCACCACAGAGAAGGAGTATTTTTGTTCCACTAGAACCAAACATTCTTTATCCAGTGCAGATCCAGTGCAGATCATGGTTTCCCACTTCAGTCATTCTCATCTCTTGTGAAAGAGTTCCAACTGTGAGAGACCTTTGTATGACATTTTGGCTAAAATAATGGTCTTCTTGAAGGCAGCTTTTTATATGTATACATCTCTTTCTTTGTCTATACAGACTGGCTCCAGAACCGCAAGTGGGAATGTGTTATCAGCTCTTCAAGGTGTATGGAGAACCCAAGGGATATCTGGGTAAGGATAAATAAAGGGGCAAGGATGAATTGAGGGAAAATGTAAACACTATTTTTTTTCAGTAGAAAGTAGATTATTTTTTTCCTGAATGCCTATGCAAAGCAAGATATTTGTATATTTTTTCACTTAAATGTTCCATGCTTTAAAGCTTGTGTATGTGCTGTCTGGTGATAATTCATGAGAAGTTTTTGAGTAAGTTAAATTGATGTTAGCTAGATAGTTTTTGTGCAGGGCTATGAACCAAGGAGGGTTTTTTTTTTCAGATGTTTTGTATATTGCAAGAGTTTAAATAGTTCACGATGGGAAAGGGAGGGGGAAAAAAAGCTTTTTTATTGCTTAGGGAAGCCAACAGTTATAATCTGTTTTGTAACTGGTATGAGTCCATTGTTAAGACATTTTATAGTTTATTTTGAATTAAAAGATAGCAAAGTCTTTCCCAAAAAGTGCTAGGAAAGTTACGATTTGCACAAAATATTATAGATCTATGTTTTCTTTTTTATTTCATATATTTATAATTCACCTTTCCTCTAGGAATTCAGGCGCTGTATCTGTCCCTCCAGTTTTATCTTCCCCAAAGCAAGCATTAACTTAGTTAGGCTGTGAGACAATGAGTAGGCCCAAATCATCCAATGGATTTTTATGGCTGAATGTAGACTTCGCCTTGAGTATCTTCAGTCTTTAGCCAACTTTTAAAGCAATCTATTAAAAGAATAGTTGAGTTCATTAGTTGTGTACTACAATGCATTTACCACGTCTGTTTGTTTTAGGTGTAGGTGTGTGTGTATGTGTGTTTTCAAAAATACTATAAGGATCTGAAGTGTGTGTACTGTTTTCTAGCTGCCTTTTATTTGTCAGTAAGCAAACACTTTCCACTAGTGAAATGTACTGCATTAAAACAATATTATTTTTTCCAGTTGTCACAGAATAAGTCACAAAATAAACAATGGCAACGAAATAAACAGGAGAGCTGGGAGGCAAAGGAAATTGAGTCTGTGGATCCTTTAAATGTTTCACTGATCTTCTCCCAGGCAGTTCTGGTGCAAAGAATCCTTCCTCACCTTCAAAGCTGCTTAGTCTAACAAGGCTCATCAGTCATTGCTTCCTCTTGGTCTTAACTTACTTTCCTTCCAGCACATTAACTCACCCCCCCACCCCCATTTATTTTCTCTCACCCATTTCTTGAGAAAGTTTTTAATCTGTGTGAAAAGTTATCTGCTGTTCTCTCCAGCCCATATCAGGGTAGAAGAACAATGTGTGTGTCTGGGCAGTCATGTAATCCAATGACAGACAGTGCTCAGCTGTCGCATTCTGTCACAGCAGCTTTTAGCCCCAGCAGCCCTTGCCAGCTCCCCAAACTCTCACTTTCATATGAAAAGGAGACACCTGTGGACCCTTAGATTATAAGGCTCGTAAGCTTCCCTGTGTCGCTTGATGGTGTGATGGTCAAGAAAGAAAGAAAGAAAAAAAGAAAGAAAAAAAGAAAGAAAGAAAGAAAGAAAGAAAGAAAGAGAAAAAAAGAGAGAGAAAAGGAAGGAAGGAAGGAAGGAAGGAAGGAAGGAAGGAAGGAAGGAAGGAAGGAAGGAAGGCAGGCCGAATGGGTCACATGTGGGCCACGTCCACCCCAGCTCCACGAAAGGAAAAAATATTGTAAAATGTCACATGACAACAACGTGACACCGCGAGTTTGACATCTGTGATATAGTGTTTGGATATTTTCCTCAAAAATATATTGTAGAATATGTCATTTTGAGAAATGAAAGACTACAGTCAGCAAAGTAATATAGATTGGATGTAACAGTACTATGGATGAGGATGGTGATGCAAGTTGGCCAAAGCAATGATATTCTGACTTCCTCTTACACCCTGCTTTCTAGTAAAAGTTTTATTTTAAATGTTTAAAATTGTGAATCGTGTACATTAGATTAGCCATGTGTTTCCATGACAGAACACTGAAAATTGATAGTGTAGCTGCTAGCAGGGGTTGTATGTGTCCCAAAGATGATGCTGGCCTGTCTTAAAGAGATGGAGGCCTTTCAGAGAGGTCTTCTTGATGATGTTTTCCTGCTTTGGGGTGCTTCTCTGGCAGGATGATCCTCTCTAGAAATGGCTGTAAGAGAAGGCATTGCTAACCAGAACTGATAAATGTAGAAAGCTTGAGGAATTATGGAGGAATACAATTTATATAAAATTGCAACAAAAAAAAATCACATTTCATTGATGGACTCCTTCAGCTGCCAGGCTTGGAACCTACAATTGCATTCCTTTGTCTGTTCTGGGGATTTATTTATTATTTTGGTGACTGAAATTTGTCTGGGATCATAGAGTCAGAAAAATTATAGCTCTGAGCGATGTCTAGGAAAGGAGAAGTGGCAAACTGGGGCAACCTCAAGGAAATTTTGGAAAGCGGCTGGAAATATTACAGGCCAATTCTGCAAGGTTTTCTACCAATTATAAATGGTTAATCAAACAGGAAAAGTGTCAAGCATGGTGTCCATCTGAAAGGATAGATGATGAACTGCCTTATCTCCTATGCTGTTATTTCACAGCCAACTAAGAGAAACTGTAGAACCTCAGACTGCAGACTGCTATCTTATTAAAACCAGAGGCTACATATTTGCTTCCAACTGGCACTTGAAGCACAGGCCAGCGGTTTAACATCCCATCTTCTCTTTGCTGATGTTAATTCTTTTTTTTAGTCACTGTGATGTAATGGGGGAATTATAAAAAGAGACTAAAGAGCCATAAACCAGACGTAGACTTTTACCAGTTTTGTTCTTTCGAATCCATGCCCGGATGAGTGACTTCCAAGTTTAGTCTATCTATCATTTCTCAACACCTCATAGCAGTATTATATGCAGCCCTACAGAGTGCCAGGCAGTAATTATTAGCTGAGATATTTTGAACAGAAGCTGGGGAAGGGCTTGCAGTGGCCAGGGTTGTGAGTTGAATACTTTCCCTTGTCAGCTTTGGAAGCCATATTAGGCCGGAAGCTTCCATGCTGCCACCTTCTCATGTGTGGGAAAGTAGGAGAGGCGATTTAGTAGAGGGGTTGTCTTTAGACATAATAGTATTCTTCCTGTCGGTTAAGGTCAGGCCGATCCTGCATCTGGAGAAGGAGTGGTTGGAGTGCTGTCTCGAGATGGGACGGATGGTGATTGGAGCATGTGATCGACTGAGGAGTGAGGGGATGGTTTGGGGAGTTTTGATTTACTGAGGGAAAATCCGGACCTCTCAGATTCAGGTTTTCCCAGATGTGCCAGTTTACCTATTCTAATAAATAGAACTTTGAAAAATGCTTGCTTCAGAGTTTTTACTTGGAGTTGGGGTTTTTTTCTGGAACGCTGACATCCCTATTCCTTCCAATCCTAAACTTTAATCTGTTGGGCGTTGTAACCAATTGATGGGCAATCAAGTTCTCTGAGCTTATCTGTGCTTTTAGTCAGCATAGTTTATGCTTGTTGGAGTTGGCCGCCATTGTGAGGAGGGGGGAGAATTAAACTTGACTGTCTTAGATGCAGTCCTTAGCTTGCCTGTCTGATACTACATATGACTGGATTTAGACTGGACCCAACTCTCACTCTGGACCTAATTGTAGACAATACCTTTGTTGTAATAAAAAAGGGACAACTAGAAGAAACACATGAAACAGTCAAGATCTTCAAAGGAATAAAATTCATAAGGGAAGAAGAAAACACCAACACACAAATGGCAGCAAAACTGGGCTGCCATTACAGATTTCAGTGGCACAACCTGATTTATAGGGGTCTGCCGTAGGGATGGATATGAGGCTTTCCTTGACTCCTTGATTTCACATTAGTCTAGTGAAGAGAAGGGCCAGGGGAGACATCATAGCACTGTTCCAGTATTTGAGGGGCTGCCACAGGGAAGAAGGGTCAAGCCATTTCCCAAAGCACCTGAAGGCCAGGCAAGGAATAATGGACGGAAACTGATCAAGGAGAGATTCAACCTAGAAATAAGGAGAAATTTTCTGATGGTGAGAACAGTCAACCAATGGAACAGTTTGCCTTCGGAAGTTGTGGGAGCTTCATCACTTTCAAGAAGAGATTGGACTGCCATTTGTCAGAAATGGTGTAGGGTCTCCTGCTTGGGCAGGAGGTTGGATTAGATGACCTACAAGGTCCCTTCCAACTCTGTTAATCTGTAATTATTTTCTTTCCACAGTAAGGATCTGATTGATAGTCATCAGTTGAGATAGGAAACACTACTAGAGAGAATACCTGTGGACAGGAATCAGGTCTTGGTACACAGTATCAGTCTTGGTATTCATATGAATTTTTTATAACACCTTTAAGCAAAGAAGGGTGACCAAACTCATCTCAAAGGGGCCTGGTGGCACAGCAGACTAATAGCCTGTTATTAACATTCAGTTGCCTGCAATTACTGCAAGTTCGAATCTCCCCAGGCTCAAGGTTGACTCAGCCTTCCATCCTTTCTAAGGTAGGTAAATTGAGGACCCAGTTTGTGGGGGCAATAAGCTGACTTTGTATAAATATACAAAAGTATGAAGGCTATTGCTTAACGCATTGTAAGCCGCCCTGAGTCTCTGGAGAAGGGCGGTATATAAATCAAATTAAAAAAAAAAAAAATCTGCAGAGAGAGCCAAAAATTTTGGAAGGGATTATTAGGCTAAATTAAAATGTAAAGCAGAGTAGATAGGTAGACAGAGATCCCTCAGCATACTCTAATAAATGTGTTAGCACCTAGTGAAATACATTTATTAAAATACTTATCAAGAATTATTTTGGATTATATCCCTTTATATCTTTATTTAGAAATAACTGCTCCTGATCTGACACCTTGTAAGCATGCCTTATTTATCACTGCCACTTTAATAAGATTTCACAGTGTGCTAAAGCAGTGAGGTAGGAGGTTTATGAGTTCCGTATTTCCATATATTTCACCTCATTTCTGTTAGTGGCCTGAGAGTGGCCTACTAGTTATAGAAGTCTGCTATATCCATGGAAAACAACACAGTTATTGGGGAAACAACACATGGCCCTGGGAAGAACTTGAAATACTCCAGGCAAATCTGTTTCCTGCCTTCTTTGCTTAACAAGAAAACCAAACTAAAGTGTTTCATTCTTAAAATTTTCCGGTGTGGAAGGAGTTAACAAATGACTGGACTGTAATCAGAACAAGAAAGAGCTAGGTAAGACAGAACTCTGTTGAAGAATTAGCATTTGAAAGAGAAATTGAATAGAGAAAATAATATTTCTTTGGCTGTGGATCGGTGCCAGCTTAACCTTTTCCAGTAGGAATCTTCTAATCTCCAGATACACGTCTTGGTGTAGATGTGCCGATCTGCTGAGGGAATCTTCTGTCAGTACTTGTCTTGTTACAAATTACTTAGCTTTAAAGCTGTAATTATGGTAATGCAGTGGATTGCTGTCTAGTGAAACCATAAAACATTTCCATCTGCCTGCCACAGCCCTGAAGCAGACCACAGACAAGTGCAGGAAGGAAGACAAAGAACCCTGAATCTGATTTAGCAATGGCTTGAGGACGAGAGAAAAAAATCACAAAAGGCTGTGATAGAATTTGTCTCACATTCTCCAAAGCACAGATTAATCCGAAGTTTTGATTACGGCTGGCTTGATTCAAAGCAACAACCCTTTCTTTTTAGGATATTAGTAGTAATTGTTCTGACCCAGCCTTAACAGAAGCAAGAAACAGACTCCTTGTCACGAAAAACTCCTCTTTATTTACCTCTTGTGAATTAATTGCATTCACCCACCGAAAAGTCCAGGTAAGAGTCCTGCAAAGAGTTAACAGCAGCAACAGACCTTATCAGTTCCTTGTGATAATTGCAAGGCCATGAGCTCCCAGCTGAAAGGCTGCAAATTATGTTCTGGCAAGCAGTCTTTGATGCACGAAACACAATGAGCAAAATCTCCAGAAATACAAACAATTGTCTCCTACGACAACCACTCCCCTTTCCTTCTATTTATTCCCCAGCCAGGGAGGGGCCATCAGCATCCATCTTTGCTTTGCTTCCTGAGTTGACTCCTTGTCCTCCGTTGTTCACCTCTCCTAACTGCTCTGCACATACATGTATCTGGAACAGGCTCCAGTGGTTCTTCCGCCTCACTCATCTCAGCCTCCAAAGGCAGCTGCCTCTCCGGTGGCTGGGGAAATGTCTGACGGCCCTGGCTCTATCTCTACGTCTGACGCAGAGCATCCATCAGAGCCTTCCCCAGACTCTAGCACTGGCCCAAGTTCCTCCCCAACCTCCTCATCATCCGAGTCTGCCACCAGCTCCACTGGCAGTTGGCGGGCCACAACAGTAATAGCCTTGTTGATTCTGATGAGCTTGTTTCGTACAAGGAAGAAATCCAACAAGAGATGTCATAAGGCTACCCTAATCTGAATTTTAGAGAATTACATCGTTGCTGTTGAATGAGAGCAGAGTGGTGGCTTAGAAATGGCGCTCTCACTGCACAAACAGGAGGCTGTGAGTTCGATCCTAGGTAGCGACAGATATTTCTCTCTCTGGGTGCAAAGAGAAAACATCTGCTGTGAGCTCTGCATAGGCATCAGGAAAGACATCCAGCCAGTAAACTCTTAGCTCCATTCAGTCGCTTCGATTCCATCCCAATGCAAGTGGTTACAGGGTTGTTAAAAGAAAAAAAATGGTTGTTGAATGAAATGAAAGAGTTTTGATGTGGTAATTAAGTTATGGGTAAACATTATTGGAAATGGCAGATCACCATTTAGTACTGCCAATTAGCCATTTATGTAATTATTGAACAGGCCTGGCAATTAAAAACTATCACCATTTGCAATTATATTTGCTTTTAGCAATATTGAACACAGTCTCAGAGCAACCCATAGGCGATTTTTAGAACTAACTGTGTCTTCTATAAGCAAAAAATGTAATTGAAAGTGGCAAAACGGAGTAGGCTCTTGGGCCATTGTTTCACATCGAAAGTACCAGGAGGCACACTAAGTTTTCGTAAGATTTTTTGAAGACAATGGAGTCAATGGGTTGTAATGACTGCTATGGTGTTGGCATGGGAGGGAGCAGTATGAAGAGTGCTGGGTTACAGCAGAACCCTTGTGTTCTTCAAGTTGCCCAAGCTTGCCTAAGTTTTTAAAACCCATGCCTCTTTTCAGGAAACATACACAAGCGTGTTGTGAAAAATAATTCAGTTATATATTTATGAGATAAACCCACATCTTTTGGATATCAGGAAACACCTGTGTGCAGAATTTATGTAAAAACTCATCTCTCAGAATTTGAAAGAAAACATTATTTTGGACACATGAATTTTCTTATATTTGATTATTTTTGTTTTTCTGTCACATTATTTATAATTTGGTGACACGTTTGGAGTTGTTGGGGATCGTATTGGGGAGCCCTGTTTTGGAAGAGAACAGTGATGGCCTCAGGGCCTCATTTTGACAGCTGTTTAGTGGCCCCCAGAGCGCCACTTTTTGACACAAAGTTTGTAACTAGATGGTGCATTTTTGAGGTAGGAAGGGGCCCAAACTCTCTCCTCACTAAGGTGACCCCATCTCAGAAAGTTTTGCTCCCAAATCTGACCTCATGCAACCCTCAGTTACAAATAAGTTGAGCTCAAGTTGACATTCAGGAAAGCAGTTTTAAAATGGACGGGAGCCTCTGTATAGTATTTGTGGTAGTGGAGGGTAGAACATCCTAGTGGTAGAACTTCCAAAATGTTAAATCACTTTTGTTCTTTTCTTCCAGTTTGTTTGCCGGAGTCGTCCCTCGAATTTCTTCCATTAGCCTTGGAGGTTTTATCTTTCTCGGGATGTATGACAAGATCCGAAGCTCGCTTTTGTGATTTTGGTCAAGAGGAACAGCTGTGGAGCCACTATCCCACCCAGCCCTCCTTAATTCTAAGGGGAAAAAAATTACACATTCATAAAAGTTATTCCTTTACATTTCTCCCTTCCCCTTCGTCCTGCCATTCCTGCCTCCTGTGGTTCAGCAGCTGTTCAGCAGCCCGGACTTCATGCTCTCTATTTAAACAAGAATGAGAAATCCTGTAATTCCATTTGCTTAACAAAAAAGTGTCCATGTATGGAGAGTCCTGTTATGGTGGTGAGCTCATGGAGAAGAGTCTGCCAAGAAATTCAGCTTTGGGGGGCAAAGAACCTATTTAGGGGCTCCAGCCAAGGGACTGAAAAGCATTATTATTATTAGCAGTCACTTTAGGGAGTGTGATGTGCAAATGACAGCTTGGTCTCCATGGCATAGCAGCTACACATATTCATCATAGAATGGCACCAGAGTCACCCCAGAGAAGAAAACAGCACCGTTAACATGACTGAAGACTTGTCATGCTCTGGAGGACAGACGGAAGAAGCAACAAGGTTTTTTTTTTCTTTTTAAAATGTATAGAAGGGGAAAAACCCATTTGTTTCTTGTTTGAAACCCATTTGGAAAATCTAGACCACTGTTCATATCTACAGGTGCATAGCCAGCATTCTTGCTTGGATAAGCAAGACTGCCTTTTTTAATTAGACTCGAATTTCTTTAGTACTGATTGAGTACAATGTTGTATTATTTTACCGCCTAACAAGGTTGCCTATGAAAAAAAGAGCAAGCTTGGGTTTTTTTCTTTTCTTTCCCATCCTTTGCCTCCGAAGAATCAGTTTGGCAGGAGGTGGAAAAAAAATTGAAGAGACAGAGAAGGGGGAAGAACTGATGAAGGGTGGGGAGAGGAAACGAAGATGCCATCTCATGCAGGAAAGCTCAAGTCCTCTTCTCCAGGGACACTCACAAAAACGAGAGATCTCATTTGAGATGAGAGGCAGAGTGGGATAGTGATGGACTGCAACAGATGCAGAGTCCAAAAAGATCACAGTGCAAAGGGGTAAAGTGGCTTTAGTAGCTGAAGAACACTTTGGGAATTTTTAGGACACTTGCAAACTGCATCCCAGCTCCAATATATGAGCTTGACTGCCATGATGGCTCACCCCAAAGAGCTATTCACACTAGATTACATTTGTCTACTTGGGTTTTGCCTGATGGCTATACTTCCCAACCAAGCATTGGGTTGTTGCCATTCCATGAGCCTTGGTTGCGGAATGGTGGATTGGTGGATTAGAATGCAGTACTGCAGGTTACTTCTGCCGACTACCAGCAGTTTGGCAGTTCGATTCTCACTGGCTCAAGGTTGACTCAGCCTTCCATCCTTCTGAGGTCGGTAAAACGAGGAGCCAGATTGTTCGGGACAATTTGCTGACTCTATAAACTCACTTAAGAGAGGGCTGTAAAGCACTGTGAAATGGTATACAAGTCTAAGTGCTATTGCAATTTCAGCAATTTCAAAATTCCTCTGCTGACCTCATGCAGAATTTGAATGTCTTCCCTGCAGTTTCATCTTAATCCACAACTCCCTGAAAACACAATCCTATACTTTTTACTCAAAAGTAGGCACTGTTCAATTCACACCAAGCTTATTTCCAGCCCAGATGCTGCAGAATTGGACATAAGATAGAGAATAAGGGACATAGAGCCATGGTGGCACAGTGGTTGAGTGCAGTACTGCAGGCTACTTCTGCTGATCACCGGCTGCCAGCAGTTTGGCAGATCGAATCTCACCAGCCTCAAGGTTGACTCAGCCTTCCATCCTTCCAAGATGGGTAAAATGAGGACCCAGATTGTTGGGGGCAATATGCCGACTCTGTAAACCGTTTAGAGAGCGCTGTAAAGCACTGCAAACTGGTATATAAGTCTAAGTGCTATTGCTATTGCTACAAGTGAGACTTTTTTGCTCAAAGGAACCACCTAATTTACTGGATTTGGTGTAAACGTTGTGTCGTTAAAATGAAGTCTCCTTCAAGCTGAGCTCTCATCCGGGTGACATGTAGGGCACAGTTCTCTGTTAATAGGTAGCTATTGCAAACTTCCAAAGTAAAACTTCAAAAAACAAAACAAAACATCAGTTTACCCTACAATCCTAAATGTTTCTAAATAGTCCTGCATTCAAAGACTAATCAACTCTGACTCTTCCAATAGGAACTGGGTGATTCCGGGCGACATCAGAATTAGAGACAAGAAAGTGGGACATTGGCTAAAATTGGCAACTAAATCTCCCCAAACTGATTAAAGATAACTTATGTGTTTCATTGGACTAGTGTAGTGAATGACTCAGAAATGGGCTATGTCCATGATCCTAACTGTGAGGTCTTTGGTGCTCTCCTTGATGTAAACTCTACTCATTCCTATCACTGATGTTGCCTAGTTGGGTAATAAAAAAAACAAACTCAAGAAAGCACAAAGAATCCCATCGTTCAACCCTGAGCTATAAATATTTTATTGCTATTCAAACAAGTTCCATTTGGTCACCCTACCCCATTATTAGCGGGTTATGAAATAGTGATAGCCTTTTAAAAAGTCTTCAAAAACCAGGAAGCGTAGTAATGCTGAATTTCATTTTACTTCACCCAAAACCAAATTATAAAAAAGTGCAGATCAATGAATCAAGGCAGAATAATTGGTATTATAAATGAACCTTTATTAAAGACACTTCAATGCCATTTGTTAAACACTTCCAATATCTTTACAATGTATTCTCAATGTACAACATTGTACCACATTAGTCTAATAAATAAATAACTTTTTACACAAAAATTAATACTTCCTCTTTCACATTGCCTCTCAGAAGCAGCAGATTCACATATTTAGTGGAAGTAACAACATTTAAACAACTGTATCTAAAACTAAAATTTCCAAAATGTTAATATGGCAAGTGTGCTTAGCAATTCAAATGATACCTTTTTTTCTATGCCTTTCCACATTTACCTTCATCTTTACCTAGAAACCTTTTTCACTTTGTAACCAAACCTTTACAAGCTCACTTTTCTTTAGAAAGCACATCACTTACTCTCTTTATGAACAAGGGGAAAAATTTACCCTGAATAGGTTTCACTATTAGCGGATCCGTTTTCTTTAACAACACTAAATAAGCCACAAGTTGGCACCTTATATCACTGGACACTTATTCCAAAGTGCAAGTGTGTTTATTGTCTGGAGATAGGGGGATGGTGAAATTATGCATTACTTCAGAAAGTTCAGCTTCAGCTAAAAAGCAGATGGCAAAACTTGTCTTACACAGTTATACATTTCCCGCCAACTGAAGGAGAAGGAAGAGTAATTTAATGGCATAGTGATCAGATATTTAAAATCTCTCTCTTACTTAAAGGGAGAGAGTATGTTTTACCACAGGTTTCCTATTAAGATGAAAGCCTTCACCTCCCAAAATTATGAAGAAAAAGGCTTGCACACAGCACACCAAAACCTCTGGTTCTTTCCTATCCAGTTGCTGTAGCAAGATACTAAACTTCACAAGAGAGAAATAACCTGTGCCAGCTGGCCTTCTAAGGTCTATTTAGAAAAATCTGGTTGTTAATGTTTCCTTTAGAGTCAAACAGTCTGGTTAATATAAGAACATACCAAAACGCTTTCCTTGGTGTTTCAGAGTAGATTTAAGTCTATTTGTCCCTCCTCACAAAGAAAGTGTTTCCTATATTATGTCCCTAATATGAATTAATATCCTAAACTAAATCATGTTTCCTATCTTTATTTCTCTGAAACTGGCCTTTAAGTCAAGGTAAAGAAAATAAGGAGAAGAACAGACAGAATCTGATGCTGCCCTACAGACAGTGTCCTAACCTATGTTTATCAACTTTAAGTCAGCCTGAGCTACAATTGAATCAAGTGGCGTTGAGGATGACTTTTGGGAACTATCATAGCTACATAGGCATAAATGTCAAAAGAGACAGCAAAAATAAAATAAAAAAAAAAAACCAAAACCCCACACTTAAGTTATAAAAACAGTTTTCATGTATGTGTTCACATTTGTGTCGAGGGCTTAAGTGAACTTAAAACTGTATAAAAACTAAAGCAAAGTAGCCTAAGGTAATTCGTGCTTTTTAAATGATTTTCCTTGCTTGATAGATAAGTCAAAAGTCTCTCACAACACAGAGAAGACCTTAAGAATCTACCTATGAACCTGAATTCTAAGTCTGACTTGAAAAGAAAAGGAAATTAGGTGTGTGTGTGTGTGCAAATGGATTATTCGTTGTGTCAGGTTACTGCATAAGCAATATTAGCAATGCATTTTGAAATCTCTATAAAAGGTGTCAAGGTGCCCAGAGAAAACATTAAAAGTCTCTATGCGAAATAAAACAGCATGAGGATGTCTCCTCTATAATCTTCTTGCTCCTTCTGCTTTTTGAGGTGAGCTTGGCCGTTTAATGTTGTTCCACTAGGATCATTGCTAGTGCAATGAACATTTAATATTTAAATAGAAGTTGGGATTTGACACAAGGTTGCATGCATCTAAATTAAGGTTGAAATTGGATAGATGGGCAAATATTCCAGAAGTCACCATAGAGCAAGGATATTTCAATGTGCTGTCCTAAAAAACTCTTGCTGACTGCCACTCCCTTCTCTGGCGCAGGCCCAATTTACATCCCCTAGAAACTCATTGATTCAGTCATGTTTCAGAAAGTAGGTACTGAAGTATATTCTTGGGACATCTGGCTCACCTCAACATTAGAAGAGCAGAGTTCAGTTTGCTTTTTAAGCTCAGAACACCACAGTCCTATGGATTCCCTTGGGAGCAAGTCTATGGAAGAACCATACTGTACACCATTGTGCTATCAATATTTCTGAGAAGACAGTTAGACTAATGAACTAGTTCAATGTCTATTTGAAAGAGCTGAATGGCAACGATCACGGGCAAATGACACATTCCATCTAATCTGCTTGAAGATTCCCCCCAGCTCTATGCCTGAGCCTCCACACAATTGTTGGGCTTACTGAACTCTCAACAGAAATGTCACTTGCGTATTTGAAAGTTTAAATGTTCAGTTCTTGATGGTGTGCTGTGTAGAGCACTTCTCTGAAACAGCACACCCCTATACAAGGGGGCACCATAGAAAGGGCATTTTTATCAGTGTGGTCTTCTCTATGTAAAGTTTGTGGTCGTAACCTCAAAGTTTTAACTGAAGACATCAGAAGTATTTGTCTTGGAGTTGGCTGGGAAGGATTTTAAAAAAAGAAAAAAATCCTTAACAATGAAAAAAAAAAAGCATATTGTCAATATTGTATAATTTCACTCAGTCACACATGCACCAAGGGATAAAACAGTCTCTGTTAAAAGATATAATATATATATTTATATATTTATATATATATGAAAACTCTTATGTACACATTTGTTATCAAATACTTTTTTTTCACTTTACATCGTAACATTTTGCATTTCTGTGCTTTATTTGCAAGCCAACATGGAGCCACTGATCCTTCTCGGGGAAGTTTAAAAACTATTTACAAGCGGGCATCGCAGAAACAGGGCTCAGTTCCCTTACTCAAGCTTGCTTCTCATACCTCATGGAGTTGTCACTTTTCCTTTAATTCGCGAAGCTGTCCATTCAGACTTTGAGGTAGAAGTAGCCTAGATAATTTCTGTGCAAATAAGTGGGAGAGACAGAGAGAGCACGCTCGGTTTATTTGCACCTCCCAAGTTTCCTGGGTCCCTTGTCAGCATTTCAGTGGCTGGACTGAGGGAGAGAGGTGGGTGACCTTGTTAAATGACCATTAGAGACAAGCCGTGGCTGCATTTCTCCCCCAGGTAATGCCTCAGATAGTTCAGCACTTCCTTTTACATGTAACAGAGAGCCTTCAGCAGGCAATAAACAGTCATAAGGCTCACAGGCATCCAAGGACTGTGAAGGACCTGTAATGCAATTAAAAACAAGAACTTTTAAGGACGGAATGTCTCAAACCATGCTGTTATCTCTACCACCCCCTTCTCTTTCTCTGTACAGAGGCCTAAGTATAAGTAAATTCTAATTCTACTTAATCTTATTTGAATCTAGGTTTGATTTTTTTTCAGTCACAATTTAATTTAGGCTGTATCTGATGCTAGAGAACTTTTGCTCTAGGGCAGATACAGGCATTTTATAGTCCCCAGGCCACATCCAGCCCTTTGGCTGTCCCTGTCTGGTCCGCGTGAAGTCAACTGGACATTAGAAATCAAATAAATGGTGCTACAGGGAGCAGAAGAAGCTGTGCAGTCATTATACGTTCCTTCAGTTGGCTGTAGAGCGAGGAGATAAAGTGCTTTTCAGCACCTGTGCAGAACTCACCCCTCACCTGAGGAGGCGCGGCAGAAGTCATCACGTGAGGAGACATGAGCTCAGCCACCCACCGCTGCCTTGGTCAAAGCATGGCCATGCGGGTGAATGGGCAGAGCACAACAAGGAGTTCTTGGTTTGGTCCTCCATACCAGTCTCAATTGCTCATGTAGTCCCTTGGGAAAATTAATTGCCCAACCCTGCTGTAGAGTATTTCTAGAGTCCATAAAGAGTGACCCATCCTCACTCGTGGTTCTCACCCAACACAGGGTTTGGAAATTTAGTAGAAATCCCTGATTTCCCCGCCTTCCAATGGGAACATTCTTGAGTAGTGATTCCTATCAGTAAGAAGAATTAGACGTTCCCTATCAATAACCTCAATGATTACAGACCAGTGGCACTCACTCCCATCATCATGAAGTGTTTTGAGAAATTGGTCTGCCGGCACATCATTTCTGGTCTCCCGCATACATTTGATAAACACCAGTTTGCATACAGAAGAAATAGATCTACAGAGGATGCTATAGCCATCACTCTTCACACTGCTCTGGCTCATTTGGAACAGCTGGGGGGGGGGCGGCTATGTGAGGATGCTTTTTGTAGATTTTAGCTCTGCATTTAACACAATACTTCCACATAGACTAGTGTCTAAACCTATGGACCTTGGACTTTCTTATTTCAATCTGCCTTTGGATTATGGATTTCCTGTCTGGCCGCTCTCAGAGGGTCAGATTAGGTAATCATATCTCTTCAGCCCTTATTCTTAACACTGATATACCACAGGATTGTGTGTTGAGTCCTTTACTCTATTAATGATGGCTAACTTTTTTGCCATGAGCCAAAAGCGGAGGGAGCGCAGAGGGGTCACACGCACACGTGCCCATATTCATAATTCTATGCGCCCCGCCCCGTGCTCCGACCCCCCTCTTTTGGCACGTGATGGCCCGGTGGGCCCAGTAGGCCCGTTTTTCGCTCTCCTCAGGCTCCAAGGGGGATGAGTCTGCCTATCGAGATGGACTGGCTGCTTTCATGGTGTGGAGACAATAACTTGGTCCTTAACACCAATTAATTTAGTGATATAGAATTGTCTTTAACATTTTACAGCCGTGGTGATACAGTGATTAGAATGCAGTATTGCAGACTAACTCACTGCCAGGAGTTTGATTCTCATCGGCTCAAGGTTGACTCAGCTTTTCATCCCTCCAAAGTCGATAAAATGAGGACCCAGATTGCTGCAGGCAATATGCTGATATTGTAAACCGCTCTGAGAGGGGTGTAAAGCACTGTGAAGCGGTATATAAATCTAAGTGCTATTGCTAACTTTATTGAAGCTTTAAATAAGGAAACTTTTGCAGATCTGAACAATCATTTCTAGTACACGAGAATCAATTATCCACTTATGCCTTCGTCTTCTATCAAGGAAAGCTAAACATTTTGATTTATTGTAATCTACTCAATGTGTCCCAGAGTAATAACTGAGCACTGCTTTAAAATCTTATTGATTGAGCCTCTGTACAAAGTCAGATCAGTGCTATAATATGGCCACATATTATAGCACTAAGAAGTAGTATATCTTAGATAATCCTGGTTAGAACCTGGCTTGCTTATCCATTACAGTAAGTTAAACGTTTCGAGTATTTGAGCATAGTCTTTCAGGTTTCTAAAAGATTGGCGGTTTGGGTAGTTCTGTCACTTCTACTGCCCAAACTGGGTTATACATTAGCTATAACCCAGTTTTATAGACACTCTGGGGAAAATGACATTCCAGCAGCAATTAAACTGTTTACCGCTAAAATAGCTGCTCAACTATTGAATGGTGTTCAGCCTGACCCATTTACAAACCTAAGGGCATTGGAAACCATTCTTTGGACTCTGTTCAAGTCCACAAAATGTGTTCCTATTGCAGTTTTGAGGCTTGAAGCTAGTGTACCAACCATTAAGGCCAGCTGGAGCAGGATTAATTTCACCCTTCAGAAACCTGTTTGATTCTACAAGGCTGTATTGATAGACAGCTGCCAATTTTGCGAGTATATCAGACTTGTATGGAGGAATTACCTAGTCTCAGTCTTTCTCTTGAATATGTAGGCCAACTAAACTTTATGGAGGCCAAATCAATGTGTTAGGACATTGATCATCAGACTGTTCACTGTTCCTGAATTTTATCACCAAATGTTAAATTGCCACAAGCTCTCTGTTGTAGGTTATTTACACAATCTAACCACAAATAAATATAAGGGCTTTTTCTACAGCCTGTTTTAATGTTCTTCCTTCTGCTCTATTGCACTTGTGGCTCTAGGGAGGCAGAAGCTCCTGCCAACTTCTTACAGTGTTCTTACATAAAACTTCTGACATGACATCCCAAGATCGGCTTTGCTCTCTCCCATTATTTTCATATTTGGGGGTCAAAATATGAAAATGGTATGTTCATTTTTTAAAGGAACATTAATTCTTCATTTACATTCCAGGTTACCAAACACTCTTTACTGAGCCATACCACTACACAAAACTTTGATTTAGATTTGTTGTTCTATTGTTTTATGATAATTTCTGGATAATAGTTTTACTGTAGCAATTTATTTTTTCCCCCCTCTTTACTAAAACACTCAGCTCTTATATTCTTTGCCAGAAATATTTTGGCTTCTACACTCCAACAGTCCTCCTGGGCAAAAATGCTGATTAAAAAAAGAAAAACAACAACAACAAGGGCCAATCTTGGTTTTCTAGTTATTTTCCAGAGGGATCCTATGTATTTCTAGAATAAAAACTAAACATAAGATAACAAACTCACTTGGAGGAAAAGGATGGACCAATTTGAAACAGATCTTAGCTAGGGCTACCATATCTGGGCTAGAAAAATCCAAACGGCCACTAGATGGCAGCAAAGAGAGTACGTAGTCATATCTAAGCTTCTGTCTGTCCCTCACTAATCTGCCATTTTAAATGCAGAGATATTTATTTGTATCTTGCCTTTTTTATTTTTAAAAATAACTTAAGACGGCGAACATAACTAACACCCCCCCTCCCCCTATTGTCGCCACCACAACAACCTTGTGAGGTGAGTTGGGCTGAGAAAGAATGGCTGGCTCAAGGTCACCCCGCTGGGATTTCACACCTGAGGTGGGACTAGAACTCACAGTCTCCTGCTTCCTAGTTGGGTGCCTTCACCCTCTGGATTTAATGAGAGTGACTGACTTCCAAAGGTAACCTGGAAAGTGTGGAAGGCATTTTAAGAAACACACCCTCAAAACAGGCCCATACCTTTGCTGTCTTCTAGAGGTAGCTTGCTTGGGCAAGCCGCTGACATCCTGTCATGATTGCTAGGATAAATAGTGCCACTGACATCTGATTTTCTACTGTCCGTATTCGTGCTGCACTTTAGAGGGCTAGAACAGTTAGCCGTTACTACGCCACCATGCTTGTCGGAGTCCTTGCTACTGGGAGTATTTGGCGTCATGGCCTCTGCAGCCAGAGAATAGTAATCCGGGCCCTTGGGATAAACGTTGATATCCACGCTTCCATCGCAGTCCGTATATGCGGCAGGCAAGCTATAGGCTTGAAACAGAAAGGAAAACAAATGTAACAAATTGGAACTATATTCAGATAGAAGAAATACCAATGGTTTCATGAGTCTACCTGACACTGATAGGTATGCCAAGTATCATATTTTTCCATATATAAGATGATACTTTTTCTTTAAAATAGTTACCTAAAAATAGAGGGGCGTCTTATACACGGGGGGGGGGGGGGTTGAGAGAGAGGAAAACCATGATTGCAAAACTGCTGATACCTTATCTCTGCAAACTAGGCACACGAGAGAAACTTCTGATTGCAGAGACAAGCTAACAGGTTTCCTTCAATCATGAGCCTTATGTAACTGATGTCAACTGATGCCACGGAGTGAGTGTAGCCAGTGCCCAGATATGGTTATGTCGGAGCGTTCTGAGCCCATAAAAATGTCAGAAAACAAAAAAATAAATACCGGTACCAGTAAGCGAATGTCTTACTCTGCAAAATAAATGTCTTCTATTTAATGTTTAAAATATTGATTTCTGAATTTTGGGTAAGAAAAAAAAAGGGGGGAGCATCCTATACATGGGGGCCTCTTATAGACGGAAAAATATGGTATATTCAAATTCCCAATGAACAAGGATGACTGGTTAGGAATTCTGGAGTTTTTCATCCTAGGGAAAGATTGTGTTTCATGCTAGAGAGCCCCATTCGTGGTTCCACAGAGCTGGGTAGGCATATGCCACAGTTCTTTAGAAGTACAGGTAGTCCTCGGCTTACAAACATTCATTTAGTGACCGTTCAAAATTACAATAGCACTGAAAAAAGTGACTTACGACCATTTTTCACAATTACGATGGTTGCAGTATTCCCATAATCACATGATCAAAATTTGGATGCTTAGCAATTGGTGTGTATTTTTGACGGTTGAAGTGTCCCGGGGTCATGTGATACCTTTTGCAACTTTCTGACAAACAAATTCAACGGGAAAGCCAGGTTCACTTAACAACGATGTTACAAATTTATCTGCAGTGATTCACTTAACAACTGTGGCAAGAATGGGAGTAAAATGGGACAAAACTCACTTAACAAATTTCTCACTTAGCAACATAAATTTTGGGCTCATTTGTCAAGGACTACATTTGGAGATCTATGGGACAATAAATTTAATTGAAATAACTACATGTTGCTATGAATATAAATAAAAAAACCCACCTGACTCAATACAAAGTATCGTGGAAAGACTGAAGATTTATACTCTTCTTAAAAGAATATTTGAAATGACAGGATCCACATATCACACAACATTTCCACATGCCTACTCCTCATTTCTACTTTAGCAACTTCTATTTGTCAATAATAATCCTTAGGTTAGGATGGGGTGTAGACTGTATTGGTGGTTCTGGCGCCTTGGTGGAAAAGCTACAATATGTTTTCACATTGTTGCTTTTCTGGTTGTCGTGAACTGCACAGGATCGTTGTGTGTGTGTGAGACAGGCAGCTCCATAGGTTCTTTATGTAAGTAAATAATGTTGAGGAGAATATGTAAATTATACAAGTGCAGTTTTCTACAGTATAACCATTATTGACAGTCTGCTATTTAGGAAAACAGATGCAGAGAGCATATCGCTGACAAAAAGTGTTAAGATGAGCATTTTTCAAAATCAAAAACTGTTGCCTAAGTTTGCTTTGTGTCTGTTTATGAAAGGAAATTGAAGCGGCCCACTTCCCATACCTGTGTTGTCTGTAAGAAGCATCCTATCGGGAATGTCTTCGCCTTTCCAAGGCTCTAAGCATATCTTTGGCTGTCGGTAAATGACAGAGTGAGCATCGCCCTCTGCATCCCTTCCTCTGCTGAGCTGGCAAACACCTGTAACCGAATGATAAAAATGTTGTCAAACTGCAGGCATGCATGGCCAGCTTTTATAGATAAAGATACTCTATGAAGGTGTTAAGGTTCGTTTTCCGAGCTTCTACGTTGGTTTCCGAACATTTTGATACCAGGCGAGGTATAACATCTTCAGCAGAGTTTAGGGCAGTGATGGCTAACCTTTTCTAGACCGAGTGCCCAAAGTGCACGTGCGTGAATGTGCACACACGTGCCCGAACCCCCAAAATGCAATGTGCACACGCTCCTCCTACGCATGAGTGGCAGAGACCCGATGATCAGCTGCGCGGCGGAGCTGAACTGGGGTGACGGCTCGCATGCCCACAGAGAGGGCGCTGTGTGCCACCTGTGGAACGTGTGCCATAGGTTCGCCATCAGGGGTTTACGGGATGTCAGTGTTAGTGTTCCTCTGTTTATAAGGGCTTCAGGTGTGGGTGTGTCAAGTGAATGCAAGGACTAACTGTACTTATGTGATTATCAGCTTTACTGCTCCTGATGTCTTTCATGGTCGTAAATTGAGCACTACCTGCATAGTGCTTTACAATTAAAAGACACACAAAATTATAATACAGGTAGTCCTCGATTTACAGCCACAATTGAGCCCAAAACTTCTGTTGCTAAGTGAGACAGTTGTTAAGTGAGTTTTGCCCCATTTTATGACCTTTCTTGCCACAGTGGTAAAGTGAATCACTGCAGTTGTTAAGTTAGTAACAGGGTTGTTAAGTGAGTCAGGCTTTCCCATTGACTTTGCTTGTCAGAAGGTCGCAACTGCAACCATTATGATTATGAGCCAGTTGCCCAGCATCCAAATTTTGATCACGTGATCATGGGGATCAGGGGTGGGTTCTACTTACCTTTACTACCGGTTCACAACGGAGCGCACTCGCTCGCTTCGCTCTCTCTCTCGCACTTGTGCACTTCTGCGCATGCGCAGATTGTTAATTATGATGTCCGGGCAGGTGGGCGGAGCCTCCCACTGCTTTTACTACCGGTTCTAAAGAACCGGACAGAACCGGGAGCAACCCACCACTGATGGGGATACTGCAATGGTCATTGAAAAACGGTCACTTGTTTTTTAGTGACATTGGAACTTTGATGATCACTAAATGAACTGTTGTAAGTTGAGGACTAACTGTATATATATACAGAAATGGTCTGGCGATCAGTGATAAACTCTACAGATTTAAGGTTTTTTACTCCTCAGGCAAAGCTGCAAATATAGGCTGCTGCTTACTTTCTATACCACACCTGCTTTCTTGTCTTTTGTTATGTGTCAGTTGTGTACGCCCCTTGAAGAACAGAAGAAACTGCTGGGTTTTTTTTCTGAACTGAAAAGCAATTTGTCATAGTTTTAATAACAGTGTAGTTCTGAGTTTTTGGCCTGCGTCCCTTGCAAAAAAACAAAAAATAGATACAGCACTGTTTTTTTCCCAAAACTTACCATTGCTCTGGATTTGACCATTAGGCTGCTGGCCATTTTCCACTCTCCCAACTATTTCTTGTCGATCTGAAAGCGTTCCCTGGGAGGACAGATAGCTTGGCACGTCAGGTGGTACAATAGTCTCATCTTGAAAAACAGGAAAAAGAGAGAAAACTAAAGAACCAATGTCACAATATAAGAACAGTGTTGAAATTCAGAAACCATGCTGGCTCAGGAATTCTGGAAACTGAAATCCACGGGTCATAAAGTTGCCATAATTATCTAATCCTGATCTAAACAAACTGGGAATTGTGTAGAGACCAGTTCTAGGCACCATTATATTCCCAAATACAATATTAAATGATGGCTGGGAATGTCTGGAAATTACAGTAACCAGGAAATAAGTAAAGCAGCATTCTGGGGGATGCTCTAAACATTTACCTGTCAGTATATGAGATATTCCCATTGCATTCCCAATGAAGAGGGGATGCTCTTAACTTGCTGGCCCAATCATGGGCCATAAAAATCAGCTGATGGGTGAATCATGGTTATATTAAGAAGCAAGGTGTGCATCCCCTTTGGAGTCACATTTCAAGAGCAAGAACTCTTGCCTGTATCAAAGAACTACAAGTTTATTTTATATCACATAACCAACAATTTAATAAAAAAACACGCCTTCTGTTTTGCGGTTCCGAGATAGGGCAGTTTTCATTTTCAGGTAATACCCCCTCTTGGCTGGCAAGTAGATTATCTTTGACGAAAGTGAGAGCACAGGGATTAACAAGCAGCAGATAGTGACAAGCCCTATTGCAATGCTTTTTGAATCTTATTTCCGAGCTTATCAATTTTATGGAAAAAGAGCATCATAGCAGGTGAGTATTTTAACAGCACTTGAATTTTTGAGCAAAGAAGCCTTTTTACAAAGGTGTGCTTCAAAACGTATTTAGGATAATAGTCAAAACTGCTGGCACATAAAGCTAAGCTTAGGGAACGTGCAATCTCTTGGAAGGATGGGTTGGAATGCGTGAAGACAAACCTACGAATTATGCAAATACTTAGCAATTCTACTTGGAACTGCCCTCTAGATGTGCAGAAGAACAAAGCCAATCTGTTTTTCAAGCTTTGAACATTGTACTCAATGGAGATGAGGCATCAGGAAGGCCATCTGGCCAGTAAATGTTCAGTCGCACCAACTCTCCACCCCAATGGTGAAATCCAAATTTTTTTTACTACCGGTTCTGTGGGTGTGGTGTGGTGTGGCTTGGTGGGCATGGCAGGGGAAAGATACTGCAAAATCCCCAATCTCTCCCCACTCCTGGGGGAAGGATGTTGCAAAATCTCCATTCCCACCCCACCCTGGGGCCAACCAGAGGTGGTATTTGCCGGTTCTTCAAACTACTCAAAATTTCCACTACCGGTTCTCTGAACTGCTCAAACTTTCTGCTACCGGTTCTCCAGAACCTGTCAGAACCTGCTGGATTTCATTCCTGCTCCACCCCAAATAAAGGGATTAGAAAGGGTTATAAAAAGGAAAAAAAAAACTCAGTGGAGACGAGAAAGTTATTTCTTATGATGTAATGTTCTGGCAACCAAAAACAATATTTTGGACTAACCTGTGTTTGTGACACTGTATTCTTCACTCTTCTTTCTGGTCTGATAGATGATACACACCCAAACCAGAGATGTTAAGACGATGCTACAGACTACAGCAATAGTCATGATTCCAAAAGTGGTTCCATCTTTCCGGCAGCCAAGTGAAGGCAATACACTCACTTGGCTGTGGGCCCGTTCTGTTCCAACCGTATTTGAGATTTCACATGTGTACTTCCCAGCATCTTCTAACACAACATTGCGGACAATAAGCAGCTGGTTGCCTGGAGTAAAGTGATGCCTATCGGTCACAGTCAGAGAATGGTCACCCTTCAACCAGTTAATGCGTGGAGGTGGACTTCCGGTTGCTTTGCATTGCAGGACCACAGTTTCACCGACAGACACAACACGGTCTTCCAATGGATGAGCCAAACTTGGAGTCTCTGCAAGATACCGAAAAGAAATGATACCGTATAAATGACGTCATCCTATTTCTGATGACATAAGAAGGACCATTCTGACATTCAGGGTTCCTTTACAACAGAGGTCTTCAAACTTGGCAGCTTTAAAGACTTGTGGACTTAAGACTTGTGGAGTTGAAGTCCACAAGTCTTAAAGCTGCCGAGTTTGAAGACCTCTGCTTTACAAGAGGCACACTCTTCCATTCTGAATTCCAGGTAGTCCTCACTTAATGACTAGTCACTTAGCAGATTTAGCAGTACTTACAACCTATTTCCAGAGTTCCGATGGCTAAGTCTCTCCCCCACCTCCACCTCCATCACAAAATCAAATTTTGGATGCTTGGCAACTGCTCCCATTCTATGACCAATCCAGGCATTTCTCCCGTATCCTATCCTTATCCACTTGATTTATTGCTCCTGAATTTTAAATTTTGCCTCCTTAAATTTCATCCTCTTAATTTTCAATGTACTTCTCTAGGACAGGGGTGTCAAAGTCGCAGCCCGCGGGCCAGATGTGTCACGCACTGGCCATGCCCACCCCCGTTTTAGCGAAGGGGAAAAAAGTCGCGATACGTCACGTGACCAAGTGACAACACAAGTTTGAGACCTCTGCTCTAGAGGTTCCTTTTGGAAATATTGTTCATTTTTTTGCAGTAAAGATAATCTACAAACTTTTCTTTAATCCATAAGCATTTCTTACCCAGCACGGTCAGGGTGGCATTGGCTGACACAGAACCGGCAGAGTTTTGAGCGGTGCAGCTGTAAACGCCCATGTCGTCTATCTTCACATCAGTGATGAAAAAGACATCGTCGTCGGGCATGACGTGCATGCGCCGCTCTCGAGCTGCAGGGAAGTCTGTCCCTCCGTCCTTCTGCCAAGCAATCTGCGGAAGGGGATGCCCGCGAGCAGCACATTCCAACCGAGCAGTTGTTCCAGTACGGGCTGCGATGTCATAGGGAGTTTTGAGGAAAGACGGCAGCACTGTGGAAAATAAAGAGAGTGATTGTACCATCAAGCTAATAAAGGATATTGGCTGGGCATCTTGAGTGCAACTAGGGAGTGTGGTGTGTGGCCTAGAGATAGAGCTCTCGCCTCACAATCAGGAGGCTGTGAGTTTGATCCTAGGTAGAGGTGGTTATTTCTCTCTCTGGGCACACTGAGAATATATCTGCTGAATAAAACTCTGCATTGGTGACAAGAAGGGCATCCGGCCAGTAAACATTCAGCTCCATTCAGTTGCCCAGACTCCACCTCACAAGGGATTATGGGGTTGTTAAAAGAGGATTATGATGATCTCGAGTGCAATAGGACTCAAACTCCTCTCTCTCTCTCTCTTTTTTGCTGTAACATGCTAAATTCCTCTAACTTGATGGAGCCATCCCCAAGACTAGGAAAGGAAAGGGAAGGGAGGGAGAGGGAGGGAGAGGGAGAGGGGAAGGGGAAGGGAAGGAAAGGGAGGGGAAAGGAGGGGAGGGAGGGGAAGGGGAAGGAAAGGAAAGGAAAGGAAAGGAAAGGAAAGGAAAGGAAAGGAAAGGAAAGGAAAGGAAAGGAAAGGAAAGGAAGACAGGACAGGACAGGACAGAAAGGAGGGAGGGAGAGAGAAACAAACAAACAAAGAAAGAAGGAAGACAGGCATTTATAGGGATGCAATTTGACTACCTCAACCCCTTCATTCAGTGGAGCTTACAGATCAGCATTCAGTTCTTACGACATTATAAATTAAAATTAAAACACAGGACTCCATAGGAGTGTTTTAAGTTAATTTAAGAAGTGCCAGAGACTAACTCTTAGATAAAGGCAATGGGAAAAATCCCAATGAGCCAAGCCAATGTTTATAAGACTGACGCAACTTAACTCTCACCACTTACGCAGGACAATAATTTTTACACAATGGCAAACCAATCCTTTGTGCAATAAACTAGAAAGGAATTATTACTGGTGTTCACAACACTTTGGAGTCATTTCCCTTTTTGTTGCTGTGCTTTAACACCTTGTTTCTCAACCTTGACAGCTGAAGATGTGTGGACTTCAACTCCCAGAATTCCCCACTCTCCAATTCTTGGAGTGGAAACCTACACATATCTTCAAGTTGTCAAGGTTGACAAACACTGCTCTATTATTTACATCTAGAAGGAGAGAGGCTTGGATCACTTTCTCCAATTTGGGTGCCTCCAGATACTCAGCAAATCCTAGCTGGAGAATTCTGGTAGTCCAAGTTCACATACCTGGAACGTTTTCAAGATAAAGGAAGCTGCTTCACAGCATTATAATAAAAATAGGGGGGGGGGGAAGCTAATTTCTATAATGCAGACAATGTTCAAGCCACATTTTCCCTCACTCACCATTTACAGTAAGCTGAGCTTTCTGAGAATAGGTAGAGCCAAAATGATTGGTAATGATGCACTGGTAGCGTCCCTCGTGAGAAAAAGTGACGTGGCGCAGGTGCAGAATGGTAGTGTACTCTATCACCACCCCATCCCTGGCACGGACGTGGGCGAAATTCTCCATCTCAGCATGGTGCAGAATCTCACTGTCCTTCTTCCAGGCAAACGTCATGGGAGAGCTGCTGCTACTGGCTGCGGAGCACGTGAGGCGAATGTCTTTGCCAAGGACAGCGATGGTAGTTTCTGGTTCAACAATAATTTTGGGTTTGGGAAAATCGTCTGGAAAAGAAATAAACCATCCCCTCTTTTAAAAGGACGCAAGGGTACTCAAAACATGCCAGCAAGCTTTAGAATTGTGTTTGCTAAAAAAATTGGAAAAATGAGAAAATACCAACGCCAGATGAAGTTATTAAGAAAATAATGGAATGTGCTGAAATGAGTAAACTGACATTTGAAATTAGAGAACAAGAAGATAAACAATATTATAAAATATGGGATTTATTTTATCAGTGGTTAGATAAAAAAAAACATGGAAATGAAATAGGATAGAGATTTTTATAATATAAGAATTGTAGAACTATATAAAATATAACATAAAGATGTATTATTATTGGATCGATTTCGGATGATGAAATGAATGTTATAATATAAATTAACTCAAATCTTAGAATATTTTGTACAAAAGGAGGGAAGAATAGCGATAGTCAAATAAATGATTAATGAGGATAATAATACATAGATATATACTAGATTGATAATATAAGAATTTAAGTAAACTGTAAGCTGTGAATATGGTGAAGACGCACAAAAGACTTGTAACCAACCGACACACTCTGTGTAATTGAAGATGGTTTTATGTTTTTATGTATGTTTGTTTAAAAATAAAAAATAAAATTTTTCAAAACAAAACAAAACAAAACATGCCAGCAAGCTTCAGTTGACCGTCATTAAGAAAAGCATTCCGCTTCAGCTAATCTCCGACAATGAAATTCAAATATAGTACAACTGCACACTTTATCTTAATCCCCGTTTCTCCATCTCCCTTGTATTTTTTTAATAGAATTTCACGTCCCTGAAAAGGCAAGATGCCACTGACACACCCAATGTTTTTGGGAAAGAGTAGCACAGCAAATTGTCACTAACTTCCTCCAGGATGTTGTTTGTCTGTTTGCTTGCTTCTCTGTCTATCCGTTCAGTTTTGAAACATTCCTCATTGGCCCCCATCCAAGTATTAACCAGTCCTGACCCTCACACCTATGCTTAACGACTGCTCAAAGTTACAAAAATAAAAAGATTGGACAACCATTTGTTGGAAATGGTAGAGGGTTTCCTGCTGGAGCAGGGGATTGGACTAGTAGACCTCCAAGGTCCCTTCCAACTCTCTTATTCTGTTATTCTGCTAAATTACTTATGACTCATCCTTGAAGTTACAACTTCCGCACACATGTGATCTGCAGTCATATGACCGTGCTTTAAGCACTTAACCACCAGCTCACATTTATGTCACGTAACTTTTTTATTTTATATTATTATTATTTATTTTATTATTCATATTTCTATGCCGCCCACTCTCCAAGGACTCTGGCTGGCCTACACCAAAGACAGTATACTAAATAGCATATTGCCCCCAACAATCTGGGTCCTCATTTTACCCACCTCGGAAGGATGGAAGGCTGAGTCAACCTTGAGCCGGTGAGATTTGATCCGCTGATCTGCTGAACTAGCAGTCAGCTGAAGTAGCTGCAGTACTGCACCCTAACCACTGCGCCACCTCGGCTCTTTTGCCAGTTTCCAATGTTTCTTGCCATTTTTTTTTTGCCAAAAACCGCCCATTTGGGAGAATGGGTTTGCCTAACAATCATGTAGTTCACTAAATGACCACGTGGTTAACAACCAGATGCTTAACTTAATTACTTGCTTTACGACCGTAGTAAAAATGGTCATAAAATCAAATTGGGTCACAGGGTGACATGTTTAATAACCGCAATGACTTAGGAGTAAAATTCCAGACACAATTGCAGTTGTTAAGTGAGGATTACGTGCATTTACAATATTTGCATTTATGTGACTACTACTGCCTGTTTCCCTTTGCATGAAATTAAGTTGAACGGTAATAGACCTTATGAAAAACACCAGAAGGAAGTTGAAACAGCTCCTAAGAAACAACTGTGGGATAACTTAAAATAAGAGAGCCTATCCTAACGAAAAACATATTACAAAAATTACAAAGTTAAAATCCTTTTTAAGATCTAAGGGCGGCAAAACTACTTTTCCATGACTTACCACTAATTCACTAATTCCAAGGCATGCAGGAAAAAAATGGTGTGTGTGTTTGGTATATATATATAACAGATACATGCATCTCTTATATAAAGCCACACAGAACGTCAATTCAGTAAGTAGCCGAACGAAAAAGTACAGCATTTCCCTTCTTTGATTACAGGCTTCCAGACTGCAAGAGGCTCTGTATAGGGGAAGGGATCCTTCACTTGGGAAGTCCACATGTCAAAATGAAGGCTTTAGTATAATCTACAAAGCAGGAGTTTCTCAAACATAGCACCTGCCATGGGCAGCCTTGAACGACCATCCACAGAAGACAGGCATTCATGTTTAAATTTGTGCCTTTACATTGGCCCAAGAGGCGACAACAATCACTCCTGGTGCATTTAGACATTCTGGATTCCAGTTCTATCTAGCATGGCTGGCTCAGGAATTCTGGGAGTTGAAGTCCATGGGTGATAAAAGGGGCCATAGTTGCCCATCCCTGCTCTAACGTCTGAGAGAAGAGACTGCATCAGGCTATAAAATTGGGGGGGGGGGGGGAAGGGTTGGTATCAGATGGATACGGTGGATATGTTGGGCATAGCCAGAGGAGGGGTGGGAAATTTATAGTATCCCAAAGCCAAAACATCTGTGACTCTGAAGAGGACAGGCAGACAGACAAGCAATACTATACTATCTTCTAGCACATTCCAGGCATGAGAGAAAAAAAAAAACCCGCATGACTCAGCTGCTCTGCCACAACCAGTAGCTCTCTGCTTTGAATGACAGGAACAGCAGTGTGTCCCTGCCCCCTCCTCCGGCCCCTCCAAGAGAGTCAGTGCATGGTTGGGGGAAGTGACAATTCCACAACTGGCAGTTGTTGCTAGACCAAGAGATTTTCCACGGCCTTGTCTATCTGCGGTTACCAAATTGCCATTTTTAATAAGATTAAGGAAGGTGACACGTGTTAAATAAATGCAGTTATTTCAGCATGCTGCCTAGGGAATTCTGGGAGTTTAAGTCTACGAAGTCCATTTTGCTGAGGCTGAGAAATACTGCTCTAACCTCATGCAGTACACGAGGGGTGCCTACAACCACTGTCAAATAGGATTGATTTATTCATTCTTATAAATGATTTGGTTTTTTTTATAAAAAAAAATAAAATGTATCTCTCCTATTAAAAAAAAACATAGGTGACAGAACAACATTGCATTCTTGCAAAACGAGGAAAATGATTTTTGATTCAGTTGGGATACTTTAATTGGGATGATTAATTGTGTCTAGAGCTTTAATATTCTATCTAATTTCTTGTCTAGGTTTTACCTTATGTATGTGCTTTGGGAAGGCTAAAAGTCTATATACCCCTCAAAAAAAGAGTTCTCGGACGCTGTTATTCTCCATGCAAAACTAAAGTGTTTAAAATTTTACTTTTGCCCCAGGAGATTCCTAGATCCACCCCCTTAAGACCTTCACTGCTGGTTCTTTAAAATTGTTAACAATCCAAACTCTTCAGATTTTGCTCACTTCCCCACTCACACTAATTGAAACCAGTCCCATACACTCTGACAAGGTGAAACCCCATCACCCCAAGCGCACCTGCATTAATTGTGGTGTCTAATTTGGAGCCGATGCAAGAAACTTTACCCTCAAAATCCAAAGTAGGCTACTGAAATGGGTATCAGGTGAGTCTGTCTCACGACTAGCTCTGAGCTGCCCACAAAATAAGATGCAAATTATTCACCTATGCTTGTAAGGATTTTATTTTCTCTGGTATTGGCTCTCAAGCACTGGTACCAAAGCACATTTTATGAAGTCAGCTTCCTTTTTAGATTTCCTGTACTGATCCGATAATTTCTACTTATCCATTGAGATGAGTTAGTCATGTTTTGAGTCTTCAAAGTAGCATTAAAAAAAAAAATGAAAGGAATACACAAATAATGAATATAAGGACAACAAAAAAACTGGGAAGAGCCTTCCTTTAATAAGAGCAAATAGTATCGTTTTTGTTTTGTGCTGGAAGAAAACAAATCAATCAAGAAAAATCAGTGGATGGAGCAGTCAAGGCAGCCTCAACCAAGCTGGAGCCCAAATTAAAATGAATCAAAGCAGGATATGCTACTCAGAAAGGCTGTTACTGCTTTCTCATCCAAGCTCTAACCCCTTCTATCATCAAATTTCCATGACCACCAAATGAGTCCCCAAGCTCATTTGAGATCACTGCTCCCGATAGATGTTGTGAATGTGATTTACAGTTCTTCCCAATGGTGAAGGCAGACCACGAAAGGAGATGCTACACTCCACTGCATATGAAATAATAAGCTGACCACAAAACACATAGTCATTCCTGCGTCAGGGCTACCCTCCAAAGCAACCTCAAAATTACCATGCGGCAGCGAAGACTCACCACATACAAAACTTTCTGGGACCACTTCAAGAATATTTTTGCCCTTTAATGATTCCGGGTGGGCACAGGTGGCTTCCACAAGCAGCTGTTGTTTTTTCTTGGTTAACCAAAGTGGCAACCACTTGAGCTGACAATCACAGAGGAAGCTCTCGCTGTTGATGCGGCTGGGAGAAAGCAAAGAAAAACAAAGGAAAAGAATAAAATGTTTTCAAAAAACTTGCAACAGAAGTGTTAAAAATGTTCATACGGCAAGTGTGTGAAGATGACCTGTATTAGTTGTTATATGAATATCATCCTTGAACCAAATTATTCAATAGTCTGCCTCCATGCCAGTCCAACACATCATTTTGTACCTGTATAGAAAAGGCTTTGCTTCAAACTCAGTTGGCTTTCCAAACTGATTCATTTAACCATCTGAATCCAAACAGATTCATACAAGGCTATTGTCTGTAAATGGTGTGTGTGGGAGGTCGGGGTGGGGGTGGGGGTGGGTGGAGGAATTTTAATTTTACTTGGAAAAGTGTCATTTAAAGATATAGCCCCCAATTTAAGCAGACCATGGTCACATCCTGCAGGTGCTAATTTCATTCTTTAATACAGTGTTTAAATGTATATTCTGCAGTAGATAACATCTGGATAACCCCAATCTAATAGGCAAGTAATAACACTTCTAAAAGGGAAAAGTTCAAAATTTAAAGATGGAAAGATTACCAAAAACATGTTTGAAATTCAGAATATAAGAAAACTCGTTTAGCATACCGTATATATTTAATCCAGCATTTTCCTTTCCGCAACAGCTATTAGAATTCTTTGGGAAGCTTTCAAGCACAGCATAAGGTATTGTGTATTGTGACAATTAATTTTGACTTTTGCTGCGTAACAGCTGATATGTATTAACATGACAATCAGCTTTTGAAAAATTCTTTAATTCACAGCCATTTGTAAACCCATTCTTCATTAAGCTTTTGATTTATACTTAAAACCTAGTTTAGTGGTCATCCATTTCTTTTGAGGTAGATCTTCCAAATTACTTTACATATTTCTAAATAGTTGTGCCAATACCTGAAGTGGAAAGGAATATACCCTTTAAATCTACAAATATCAGTTGGTAACATGGGTTTACCACATAAATAAACCACTCCACTCTATGTTTAAATAAAATAAAGTTTCAGTGATTTGTGGTTGATTTTGGACAGAGCCATACATGGGTTCCCCACCCTCCTTCAACAATGAACTTGTAAGTTTAGCTTCTGGACATCTGTAGAGGCCACACACTATTTTAAAGCAAGGGAAAGAACAGAATATACAGTATATCGCAGAAGAGAATGTGAGAAACAAGGTTCTGCTGACATAGTTGAAGTGACAAACCTGCTAATCCATTTGTAATTCTGAGCTTCACTGCTTTCTTGCAGATGTTTCATTATCCAACCAGGTAACATCATCAGGGCTAGCAGTTGAATAATGAAACGTCTGTAAGAAGACAACCAATTTCAGAGAGCACCAAGAACCCAAGTTCATTGCCGAGTTACAAATGTTCTCTTCTGCTGATATCATTTGTGATTCTCCCCTTCTAAATGGGTTCAAGGATCAAATTCAAAGACTGAAATTTCATCATATGGATATAAAACGGGGGGGGGGGGGATGAGAAGGGCAGGTATTTTACTATATGATCTATATGACGAGAGGATGGGAGTTTGGACTTCCTGAGCACAATGGAAAAAGGCAGAGCTGCAGCCCAATGAAATCAACCACAAGGAAGATCTAATTTCACTAGTTATGGAATTTTACTATCTGACATCTGCTCTCTCACAAAAATAGCTTGTAAGAAGAAGAGTGCAGGGAACAATGGAATTATTGATAATATGGAAAAGAGCTATTGGAGGGAGGAGTCGCTGGAGGAAATGCCACAAAAATGGACCAAAATATACAGCAAACACTTATTAGGATTCATTCCTTACAGTTCTTTCAGGTTTTTCAGCTTTGTAAAGGCATCCTCTTGAATAGACCGTATGGCGTTATTTCCAAGGTTCCTATAGAAAGTGAAGCATTTATTTTAATTTACAGACATACATAGATGCACCATGGTGTCACAAGAGTAACTCTGCTGGCGTAGTTTCTTTTAATACAGCACTTTGTGATTTCCCACTTATTCATAATATCTCTGATCCTCGTTAAATAGAGGATGTGCAGAATTAGGGCCTGAATGCATTTATGTATCATACTAACTTTATCAGGATAGTGAATCTCTCACCTGTCCACTTTCCCTTCCCATCTGATTTCTTTCTTTTTTCTTTTTTACTGAATCCCAATGGTGATTAATGAAAAAAAGCCGATTTTATTTATTTTATACAGGCAGTCCTCGCTTAAAGATTGTCCTGTTGAACAACCATTCAAAATTACAATGGCGCTGAAAAAGTAAAGTAAACACTGGTTCTTGCATTTACAATCACTGCAGCATCCCATGATCAGATGATAGAGATTTGGGGGTTTTGCAGTCTTTATATAACTTTCCAGTATCCTGTGGTCACATGATCACCTTTATGCACTTCACAGCCAATTTATGAATAGCAGTGTCAATAGAGAAGCTGGCAGTAAATCGCAAGTCACAACCACATTATGTCTTGCTTAATAACTACAGGAGATTGCTTAGGGCAGGGGTGTCAAACTTGCAGCCCGCGGGGCAGTTATGTCACGCGCTGGCCATGTGCCCCCCTCATTTTAGCGAAGGGGAAAAAAGTTGCGATACATCATGTGACAACAACGTGATGCCGCAAGTTTGACACCCCTGGCTTAGAAGTGGTGGGAGTGATGTTATAACTCTACTGAGGTCATATAGTATCTTGCTAACAACCATATTATAGTCCCAATTGTGATTGTTAAGCATGGACTACCTGTATATTTTTTTGCTAGCCAGTTAAGATACCAACAGCAATAGCACATAGACGTATATAATGCTTCACAGTGCTTTACAGCCCTCTCTAAGTGGTTTACAGTCAGCAGATTGCCTCCAACAATCTCATTTCACTGACCTCGGAAGGATGGAAGGCTGAGTCAACCTTGAGCCGGTGAGACTCGAACTGCCGAACTGGTGGCAGCCGGCACTCAGCAGAAGTAGCCTGCAGTACTTCATTCTAACCACTGCGCCACCACGGTTCTTATAAGATAGCAATAGCACTTAGTCTTATATGCCGCTTCATAGTGCTTTACAGCACTCTCTAAGCGGTTTACAGAGTCAACATATCGCCCCCAACAATCTGGCTCCTCATTTTACCAATCTCGGAAGGATGGAAGGCTGAGTCAACCTTGAAGATACAGGTTAACTGCATATAATGCCTTAGAGATAAGTTTTTCAGCACAAATCTGAAATAGAATTTGCTGCAGCTTATTCTTGTGTTTTAATGTTACATATGAACTGGCCCATAAGTAGTACTATTCTCAACCCGTTATTATTATTTTAGTAGCTTACGGTGGATTTTTTTAAAAATAGTACATCTGCACATATAACTCCGTTCCAATTGCTTAGTAAATCTGCCAGCATTTTAAATACAAATGTTTTTAGCCTTTCATCTGGCCAATTGCTGAAAAACTGTACTTGAAGGAAAGAACATGTAGTATTTTAAACTTTAACCCCCTCCACCCACCCAACCCCTTTCCAAAGGAACCCCACTCCTCCTTTGCAATAAGATTTGGGCGAGATAGAAAGAACAGAGAGAAGAGAATTTCAGAACTCCAGCCAACTATGCCGGGGGAAAAACAGCAAAGAACCAACTCCAAAATCTACTTCATAGAAACACACGTTACAATTAAAATGTCTTTAATTGGCTGGTCCCCAAGTAAAGATGTCTTCGTTGTAATTTGTAGTCATTTGCACATGAGTAAAAACAGCAAGGATGTGGAAAATGAGCAGACATTTTAAAACAGGATCCAATCCCTGCAGAAGAATTATCCATGTTCTGGGGAGATTTTTTGCACAAAGTAAGAGAGTAGCAGGATGGGGGGGGGGAGGGGCCTTCAATGCCAACTCTCCAATTCATTCTCTGTTCAAAACAAGTTATGTAAAAAAGTAGGTAGTAGAAATGCCTCTTCTAAAATGGTGTTGTCTCTCTTTGGATTTTGCAAGTATGTGTTTAAAAAAATTAGCAAGTACAAAAAACAAAGCAAAACAAACAACCCTCAAGCAGAATAACCCCAGGGGTCTTTAGGACTCTTAATATTATAGACTTAAAAGGTAAAGGTTCTCTTTGCACATATGTGCTAGTTGTTCCCGACTCTAGGGGGCGGTGCTCATCTCCGTTTTAAAGCCGAAGAGCCAGCGCTGTCCGAAGACATCTCCGTGGTGATGTGGCCAGCAGGACTAAACACCAAAGGTGCACGGAACGCTGTTACCTTCCCACCAAAGGTGGTCCCTATTTTTCTACTTGCATTTTTTATGTGCTTTTTAAACGGCTAGGTTGGCAGAAGCTGGGACAAGTAACGGGAGCTCACCCCATTAAGCGGCACTAGGGATTCAAACCACTGAACTGCCGACCTTTCGATCGACAAGCTCAGCGTCTTAGCCACTGAGCCACTGCGTCCCTATATTATAGACTTATTTTCTACCAAATGCCAGCAGAGGGAGTCAAAGCGAGGACGATGGCGGTAGAGCCGATCTTGATCAAAGTTGCCATCTACACGAGTGACAATATTCAAGAAGACAAGAGATGTGAACCCTCTGATATTCAGAGCTTTCCTGCCACTCCAGCCTAATTTATTGTAAATATATTCAGGCAATGGTATAGAAGAGCTATTAAAATTGCAAGGGTTGTTTCCCCCCCACCCCCACCCTGCTAGCAAAGATAATGGTGAGATATTTTGACCCCAACTTTTTTGTAGATATGCTCAATGCCAAGGAAGAACAGAGCAAAAAAAAAAAATCAAAAGGTGCAACTTCAAACTTTTGGGAAAGGAGGAAAATTTCTCAGGAAGGTTTAGATTTTTGTGAATAAAAAAGAGCCATTCCAATATAGGTTTTTTTAAAAAAAACCACCATGTAACTGGTCATGTGCTCTACAAACTTTCTTCCTAAGAGGGATTTTTTAAAAAAAGCAGAGCCAAAGTTGGAGCTGACTTATAATGAGAAGGAAGCAGCTGGCTCTCAGGAAGGGAGCTTCTCAGCTTACAAAGATGCTATTAAATTGCTTGCAGGCCGTTGCAGCAGCCATTCCTGGCAAGCCTCCCCTTTCTCACCCAGCCCCTCCTCTCCCAACCTGCAAAGCCTTGTGGGTTACTCACAGGTGTTCCAGGGCCTCCAAGCCGGAGAACGCCTCCTTGGCCACAGACTTGATCTTGTTTCCAAACAGAGTCCTGCAGTTGCCAAACACCCAGCAAGCCAGATAAGCAGCAGCCAGAGGAGGAGGAGGGGGAGGAGGGGGGGGGAGAGAAAGAGAGGCAAGAGGGGAAGAAAAGACCCCAATTAGCCAGCATCTATCTGATGAACCATCTCCATGTAAGGCGCTGGAAATACAATTTGTCAAGATTAAGGAAGCATACTCTTTCCCTTTCCCTGAAATTAAATACCTTTATCTTTATTAGAGCTTAATAGTGATGATAGCTTTATCCAGGACATTCTGTGTTGGGTTAAGAAGTGCAGCTTGGCTCTGGAAAGGGGGGAAGCCTAGTCAGGATGTGAGCTGACCTTGGCTTATCAACCCATATACCATTTAATCAAGACATTGGATTCACCACTGGGCAGTTCACCCTTGCTCTTTTCACAGTTGGTAATAAGCAGCTTTCAAAACAGACCACAATGTTTCAAACTATAGATGGACCTTCTCCAGATCCCACTTTGATGCCCTCCTATCAGCTCTACTGCCAGGAAGATTTCATAGGATTCCTCATTTACAGAGACTTTGACGGCATGGATCCAGGGAGGTAGAAACTCTTAGCCTTTCTATGATGCCCCAAGATATGCTCTAATGGCCCAATCATTTCCAAATACGAGGGCCAGACAGATAAATATTATGTTTATTATTTTTAAGGGATGCTAATAATCCCACACTCACATATCAGAAGACCTTCATCAAATTATTCAACTGTGCAAAATTTTTAATTACATATGTTGTTTTATTGCTCTATTATTTTTTTCCAATAATAAATTGCCATGTTAAACCACTTCCCTTTTTACTATACTCTTTTGTTGAAAAGGCTGATCAAAGGCTGTAATACAGACATTTGATTTGGGGGTTTTCATGCTATGTTTGAGGAGAGGACAGAGAATTTTTTGAAGAATATGTTACCCCCACCATAGAAAGTTTAGTCAATGTTTTTCAAAGTTCAGGGACAAGATAACTTGGGTAGAACTCTCTTTCTCCCTTGGAAATTTGTTATTTATTTATTGATTTGATTTGATTTGATTTCTATACCGCCCTACTCCCGAAGGACTCAGGGCGGTGCACAGCCAAACAATAAAACACATACATACAAAATTTAAAAATAGAATTAAAATCAAATTAAATAATTTTTGGCCCGGACAAATTAAAACCCCAAACTATTTAAAACCAATTTTAAAATTGAATGTATAAAATACTAAAAAATATTTAAAAATTAAAAATCTTTTATAAAAGAGGGAGAAAATTAGGCCAGGCCCGCCTGGTGAAATAATAAGGTCTTTAAAGCGTGGCGGAAGGTGCGCAGATCCGGGATCCTCCATATCTCTGGGGGGAGCTCGTTCCAGATAGTAGGTGCCCCCTTTTTATACAAAAAGTATCAACATTTTATTTTCTAGTGCTACCTTACCTCATAGATTCTCTTCTGACTTGCTGTGACAAACCGTGACAAAAGTATTTCAAGGTCTTTTTATTCCAAACATTTCATATAGAATTTAGATATTCTCTTCTAATTATAGAAAAATAGCATTGATCTGATCATGAACTCAAAGTACACTGAAAGATACTTTTTTCCAGTGAATGCCTATGAAGTTGCTTACCAACAGAACCTATAAGCAAGCCAAGATGGGAAATTAGGGTGTTTTTAAAAGATGATATTTTTTTCTTAGCAAAAAAATATGGCAGTTTCCTTCTAGTAGCCAAGGTGACTAAAAGTCGTGGTATGGCACATTGTAACATCTGGTTTTAGCTTTGTTATCCTCTAAGTTATTTACTTACTAATTTACAAGAAATGGAAGACTGAAGATTGCTCCACAAAAAGCAGAGCAAACAACACCGCAGAATGAAGACTCAAGGATACTGGCTTTTTATAATTCCTCTCTGGATATTGGCCACACATGCTCTAGACAGTTGCTACTCACAAGGGGACTGCACAATAGAGCTCTGAGAGATGAAAGAATAGTCATCTTTTTGTCAAACTGGTTGAAACCAGTAACTGGTGGTCAGTGCCTTTGAGAAGATACCATGTTCAGATACTTCTTTTTTAATCACATTTGCAAATTGTGTCTTAACTACTTTTTACCTATTAGGCACCTTTGGACTGCCAAGTTTAGGAATTTAAACAAATGGGGGGGGAGGGGGGAACAAACAGCAAAAAGGTGGACTTAATGGACTTTTGGTATAATCAGGACTGAAATGATGTTTTATGGATTAGTTTACCAATACGAGATGAGATATGGAAAGAAGTTTGTTGCATAAAAGAAGGTAGTATGTGATTAAAATGTTTATACTTTTTGTAATGAAGAAGCAAATTGCTTCCTTATATATTTTTTCTTTTTCTTTATTTTTTTTATTAAGCTTTTTATTTTAAACATAGTTAAAAAGACATACATAGACATACAACATATACAAGAATCTTAATTTCTTTTTCAGCTATATAACAGTGATCCATTTCTTACTATATATAAATATTTACAGATATTATAATGTTAACTTATTCAGCCTTTTCTTTTTCTTTATTATATTCTTATTTTTTTTCTTTCTTTTCTGTTTCTTTCTTTTCTGCACCTTTTTTTTTTAAAATTTGATTTATATGCCGCCCTTCTCCGGAGACTCAGGGCAGCTTACAATGCGTTAAGCAATAGCCTTCATACTTTTGTATATTTATACAAAGTCAGCTTATTGCCCCCACAAACTGGGTCCTCAATTTACCTACCTTAGAAAGGATGGAAGGCTGAGTCAACCTTGAGCCTGGTGAGATTTGAATTTACAGTAATTGTAGACAGCTGGTGTTAATCACAATGCTATTAGTCTGCTGAGCTACCAGGCCCTTCTATTTTTTATTCTTTTATTTCCTTTAGCTTATAACTACAACAGTAATAATTAGTACAATCTTTAATAACTTCCTTACACTTTGCAATATATATTAAGTAAGAAGCGTACTTTTAAAAAAAAAGGCAATGCAAGTCAATTCTAGCATACTGTTTGGCTCTGCCTTCCTCATAGAGAAATCGCCGCAGAGAGACATTCAAATATTCTGATCATGAAATCAAATCTGATAGATACTTGATTCCTACAATCCAAGAAATGTTTGAACTCTTTCCTAATTTTGCTGGCGCCCCATAGCTGGAGCTAAATTGGCCCTGCGGAGCTTGGTTTGAGATAATATTGATAGTATTGTTCTGTTACTTATCTGATTTCTAGCATTTTTCTTTCTTCTTTTTTAAAAGTGCAATATAGCCCATCCTGAATCCTGATGACAGAAGAGATTAAACTTCTGCAACAAATTAATTCAGGAGGATACGGTACGGGGACTTTTGGAATGCTTCTTCAATTTCAGCTTTTTGTTAATATAAATATTCCTGCAACTCTCCCCTGAATAAAGACACGAATCAAGAACAATTAGAACCTAGGAAGGTCAGAGAAACTGTTCAACTTGCAAATCTTACACACTATATTCAATGTATTGTGATTGTCCATAGATATTGAGATAGGCCTTCCATCAAACTGTACTCTTTGATGTCTATTTGGCTAGCTCTATCATAAAGAAATCTAGGTTATTCATACTCTGCACTTGACAATTTTTTAAAAAAGAATGGAAAGCATTAAAATATTATAAAGGCATTTTTTTTAAAAAATAAATACCTTGACCAAATTCTAAAATTAGGAAACCATGTGTCTAAATGTGAAACCTTTATGAGGAACAAGCTAGGTTCAAGATCCTGCTAGTGACTTATGACCACCATTTTTCACACCTAGCAATGTTGCAGCATTCTCATGGTCACGTGATCAAAATTCAGACAAGTGGCAACTGACTCATATTTATGACAGTTGCAGCGTCATATGATCACCTTTTGCGACCTTCTGACAACAATGAGAAAATCAGATCCACTAACAACTATGTTACGAGCTTAACAACTGCAGAGATTCACTTAACAACTGGGGCAAGAAAGGCCATAAAACGTTTCGCTTAACAAGAGAAATTTTGGGTTCAATTGAGGTTGTAAATCAAGGACTATCTGTATATTGAGGGATGGAAACATTTGGCAAGTAATCTAAGGAAAGCAAAATATTATTTCGGTGCTTTATATAAATAACTTTGATGGGTGGCTATTTTTAGAAAGAAGATCCCATATGTCTTCTTTGGTAAATCCCAATAGTTGAGAATGACTAATGATATAAAAGAACAGAGCCTAACTGGAGAAGCAAGCTATCCCAAGAAAATCAGATTTGCTTAGCTGAATGTTGCTTTTCAATATAATCAAGAAGCAGCAGCAATTAGGTAAAAAAAGAAATTACAAAACAAGTTTGTACAATCTGTTTTCTGTGACAGATGCATCATATGTAATCTAATCTTCAATTCTTACACACATGAATATGTGTCTCAAGAAAGTAAAACAAAAAATTCTCCAAAAAAAAAAATGCAGTAGTGAGAAGAAAGAAGTTACTCGGGATTTGAATATTTGAGGACTTCATAAAGATACTTGGGTCCTCTGATCGGTTTTTATAGATCAGGGTTAGACTATTCTTTGTGTTCCACCATTGAGATGTGTAATTAGGTCATGTCTGCATTTTGAATTTTAAAAATTGATTTAATTGTCTTGGTTTTTCCTCAATAAAACTCTGGGGACAAAAGCTGTATGAGAAAGCCAAATTCCTGACAAATTTCTGAGTCTCAGCACTTGGTTGAGCATTTCCAGGAGGTCTCTCAAGAGGAAGGTTTTTCCATTTTGGATGGAAAAGAGAATCAACACACTATCCTCACATAGTTTAGTTGCAAATGGCCCAACACAACCAGCAGTTAGTTAAAGACCACCTCAAACTTAAAAGGTGGGGGAAAGGTTCAATACTACACACAATGGAGGAATAATTGATGATGGAACACGCAGAGCATAACTTCCTTGATCACAGAAAAGATTTAATCAAGGAAAGTACGCTATCTCTGCATGCTCATAAATGGCTGATTTTTATAGACTTTATAGATTCTTTTGCAAGAAACATGGAAAAATATGAACATATGACTTGTGGTTTTGATTATTAGGAAAAAAATGGATGGTAGAAAAAAGTGAGTTTTTAAATTAATAATTTTGTAATTATATTTAAATTTACTGCAGAGGAAAACAGTTTTTTTTTCCTTTTTAAATTGAGCAGCATATAAACTGGATGAAATAAAAGTACAAATATATAAAAGGTGCAGAACATAGAATACAGTGACATCTCTGTTCCCATTTTAACTAATTGCAGGAATGTTATGAAGAAAAATATCCACAGCTTCTGGATACGGCCATGTTTATTTTTTTAATTTTTTTGTCCCTAAGAAGAATGGAACTAAAATCAGCCCCATGGACAACTGTTGCCTTTTCAAAATTGCAAAGAAATACAAGGTCTAAATAATTAGGGCTATTTCTAGACATCAGTTTTTGCCAGTGTAATGTTTTAATTGTTCTTCTGAGGGAAGGTTTTAATTTAAGCTTGCTCTCTCCTCAGTGGAAAATGTCATCTATAATTCAGAGAAGGCTAACGTCTTTGCTTGTCCCTTTCTCTCCTGTTAACACCTCCACTATGATGAACAAGGTGCTTTAGTACTCACTGCAATCTCCTTTCAGTAGCTTGTCCACACAGATCAAAAGAGGAACAGCTCTTAAACCTGTCTCCAAAACACTGAAGTAATTATTAATTCATGTGGAGGTTTCCTCTTAAGTCTCTCTCTCTCTCTCTCTCTCTCTCTCTCTCTCTCTCTCTCTCTCTTCTCTCTCTCTCTCTCTCTGCCTCTCTGCCTCCCTCCCTCCCTCTCCCCCCCCCCCTCTCTCTTGCATGGCGCCAATCTATAGGTGCAGAGCTCTTTCTACAGAGTACCTATCTACTTTTTTTTAGAAGCATTCCTCCCATTCCCTATGAGCACTGATGATATTACCTAGTTTGGTAATGAAATGTCTGCAAAAAAACAACCAAGATCAGAGAACACCAAGGAGAAACATATTCCTCCTTTTCCCTTACCTGTGTCAGGCCTGTCTTGGGCCTTCAGGCTTGTCACATTTACTATTGTGGGAAACAGGGAGGGGGGATTGTATGGAGCCAGGGTGATATATATAGACATAATAACATTCCTTTCTCAGAAAGTCAAGGTCATCTTGCCCTGCACCTGGACAACTATAACTGGGAGGCATCTCCAGTTGGGACGGTGTTTGGATTGGATCATGTGATGGGCATGTGGGTGCAGGGGAAGGGACTTGGACTTTCTTTTGGGTGGGAAAAACCTGGAAGCTTTCAGATTCGGGTTTTCCCAGATGTGCCAATATGACATCTCTAATAAAATGGAACTTTGAGGAAACTCAAGCCTCACGAGTTTCCTTTCGTTGGGAGTGTTACCCCCAACGACAGATTACCTGACAACCTGACTTTGCCCTCACTGGTGTCTAGGCTTAAATGAGTATGAATAACTTTCTCTCCTCTGCTCCAACGAAGCACATAGGTGTGTGAGTATGCATGACCATAGTCACTAGCTTGTTCCTGCTGATGTGTTTTTTGCCAATTCTACAGCCCACCCACCAACTTCACTCTGGAGGGCATGTTCTGAAAAGAGAAATATGCTCTCTCTCCCTCTGCAGATGCCACACACACACACACCGCAGAATTAAGGAACTTGATCACACTAAATTCTGATTTTTGTTCAGAGTGGCCCCTTCCTAGTTAGCTGCCTAGTATGCCAATTAGAGGGCATGGTGCCTCCAACAGACATAATGCTAATGGTGGGGGCATCAAGTGAGGACCATTCTCTCCTTCACGCATCTGTAATCATGTGAGGCCTAATATCCAAACAAAGCTAAGCTTTTAGTCAATTTCACAGTATGCCATGTAATGGTCTCCTGCAGGCATATCAAAGGATTAGGGGAAACAGGAATCCTCTACAGCTTCTCAATAAAAAGTAATCATCACTCATATAGTTGGACACTTGGTTAATTTGAAAACAGAAATTCTTCTTCCATGTTTTCCTCAATTTTCCAAGGTTAGATGTTTATCCCAAATCACTTTTTAGTGTTTTCCTGGACAACTACGGCTCACAGTTTTGGGGCTTAAAACTGAATTAAATTACCATGCTACATTGGAAGTCATTATCTTTTTTATAGAACAAAATCTTCACTGATGCTATGAATTTATATCTTCCTGCATTAAAACGAGTGTACAAGAATATCCTTGTTTTTAATTTTTCTTGTTCGGCTTTAATATGTTTGTAGAATGGTTTCTCTTAATTCACAACATCTTCCAGCTTTCAGTCTCTAAGCGGTTTACAGAGTCAGCCAATCGCCCCCAATAATCTGGATCCTCATTTTACCAACCTCGGAAGGATGGAAGGCTGAGTCAATCTTGAGCCGGTCAGGATCGAGCTCCTCGCAGTGGGAAGAGTTTGCCTGCAATACTGCATTCTAAACACTACACCACGATGCCTAGGAAGGTGTGCAAGAGATGTGACCTCAAGAAGTGCAGCACAGGTTGGGAAGGAAGGACAAGAGGTGTGGCAGGCTTGGGTAGGTTCATGAGGGTATGTGAGAGATACCATGTCTGGTAAGATGCATGGCACAGGTTGGGTGTGTGTGTCTGTTGGTATAATGTGAATGAGGAGGGTGCACAGGGGTGCATGAGTTGGCATGGTTTCAGTCCAGAAGAGCTAGGGGAGGCTAGATGGCTGAGGGAGACTAACTTTAGTGATTTGCTATATTCCCCACTGATTTTATAGGGAAATTAGCAGGGAAGTTGCAAATGGCGATCACATGATTATAGAGAGCTTGGCAGCTGACTGCGAATGTGAATGGGTTCCCAAGCACTCAAATTGTGAAAAAGTGATACAAAGTGCACTGCAGGGATTCTGGAAAGGCCAGAACTCTGAGGACTGGTTATAACTGCCAGTTACTCAGCAGTATCGTAACTTGGAACGATTGCTGATTGAATGGTCATAGATCAAGGACTACCTGTATCAGCAATATAGTCTCCCCTGGAACAAAAGCTGAGTGCATTTTCTGTTTAAAAGATCACCATCTGAACATAATGTAAAGAAAAATCAGATGTATGCCTCGCTTTCACTGGAAGACACAAAGTAACCAATTTGTCAAGAATACAAAGCGAAATAAATTTATCATTTGAGATTCATAAAATAAGGTGACTCTATTTTATTTTCGGGAGGAAAAAAACCCTCTTTAGATCTACAAACTAAGAAAAAAAAAGTATAGTCAGAGTTTGAATTATGGCCAAGTGAGCTTTTAAGGCAAGTACTAGTATTAAAAAATATTTGCCCTGCACATGATAGACACTCAACAGATGTCCCACTTTCTCCCATCCCACTCCTAATATACACAGAGATATACAAAGTTGTTTGGAAAAACAAGTTTTGTTTTCTAGAAGCAAAAGTTATCCGATACTCACAGCATGCTTAAGTTTTCCAGGCCCATAAATGCTCCACTGGTGTCTTCTATTGTCCCTGAAATTTCGTTATGATCCAGATTCCTAGGGAGAGGATGACAAAAGAAAGATCGCAATCAATTTCCCAGTTTGTGAGCCCAGCATTCAAAGAGGCTCACAAAGGCCAACCTTTAGGAAACCTTCCCTAAAGACACTGCCTTTTGTTCCTGTAACATAAAGCTTTCATCTGAAGCATTTGTGGAAAAACAGTAATAATTTACTCTAGTTGACTAGACCTGACCTCTTCCGTATTGTTTTCTTTCAAAAAAACCTCCCACAAATGATGTTTCTGCTACCTGATTCTCTTCAACTGAGTTACAGCTTTACTTCTTCTGGTATTCAGAAAGTGCAAGAAAAAAATTATTTTACACCCACCCACCCAGGGTCTTCTTGGAATTGGGCGGTCTTAATAAATCCGATAAAAACCAATAACTAGAAATAAGCCCAAAGGTGCTTTTATTTTAAAAGCAACTGGACTTTCTGATTTTTCTGTAAGACGTTTCTCTTCTCATCTACAAAGCTTCTTCAGTTCAGCTTCTTCAGAACTGAAGAAGCTTCTTAAATGAGAAGTGAAATATCTTAAAATAAAAATCAGAAAGTCCAGCTGTCTTTAAAATAAAAGACAACCATGACCTAGATGAATGAGAATCTTCATAGACAACTACAAGTAAGGATGAGAATGTGCAAATAAATACAAATGCAATCGCTAAGGTTTTACTGGGGTTGAGTCACGGGAGGGGGGCTCCCAGATTTTAGGGTGTAGCTCAGTTGGTAATATAAACATGGCTACAAAGAGCTCCTCCTCCCTCCCACTCCCCACCCCCTCTGAAATCAAAAGAGTGGGGCCTGGGTAATAAAGGCCATGAAGCAATCAGGGGAGAAATAATGGGATCCAGAGGTAGATGGCAAGGCATTTGAAGTCCAGAGATTGAGCTGCAAGAATTAACAACGTCATTTCTATTTTTATGTTTTGCATGGAGTCATTTGCTCTTTATTCCAGAGTAAGCTCCTTGTTTCCCTCCATTTCTCTTTTTGTAAAGAGAAATCGATCTCTGAAGGATTGGGAATTGGCACATGATTGTCCTGCCATATGTGAGACGAACTGAAGGACTTTGGGGGAGTGGGGGATTTAGTGTGGAGTGAGATTTTTCTAGCACCCTTTTAAAAAAAAGATAATTGACCTTTACTTTGTATTCTGTATAAAAGGAGAAAGAGAGTGAGTTTACTGCTTCTTCCAAAAAGAACATCCTTTTGTGAGAAACATGCTTTCTCATAAATGATTTTTTTTTAAAAAAAAATCCAACATATAGGGGATCCAGTATTCCAGTTCAGTTTTCTTTGCATTCACTTTGCTTTTCTCACAGCCTCTGTTGCCAATTTCCTATTCTTTCTGGCTGGCTGGCCCTGAAAGCATACTGCCTTGTTAATCATTCTGCTGTGAGGTCTCTGGGACTGACCTCTATTTGAATAGCTTCTCATTTCAGCAGTTTCACACCCACCAAAGGCTTGTCAACAATAGATTGTAATTAAAGCATGCCCAGCTCTTTTTCACCAGGTGCAGGGGCTGATGGGCCTTCCTCTTGATTCAATTAGAACTTGCTCTCCCGCCCTCTTTCCTCTCTGTGTACCGGACACAAAAGGAGACCGAGAATTAGCTGCAATCCAAACACTCTTTTCAGTTTGGGAAAGTCTTTCGTCCTTTTCTGTGCCAGCTGCCTAGGAGCAAGCCCTTTCTGAAAACAGGCATGGGATTGAAAAGTGGGTCTGGGAAAGGCAAAGAAACATAAAGCCCGTCCTCACTTCAATCAAAGGAATAAATAACTGCACAGTGCAGTAACCAAGGGGGAAAGTCTGTGTTTCTTTGCCATTAAGCTCCAACTTCAAAAGAGCGTTGGAGAAAAGAATTTTAAATAAGTAATTTGGAGAACTGTTCATTTGGTGGAAGGACATTATTAAAAAACAACAACAACAAGGTTCCTATAAAGTTATTCTGGTTTTCAGTTAAGGGTTTCACAAAACCAAAGTGATCAACAATTGTGCACATAGAATGACAAGTCAATAAAAGCAGAGATTCGTTCAGTTAAAGAAGAAATATCCCATTAAGTACAGGGGGTAAAATGTCTCCTTGGACACACTCATGGCACTTTTCTTCCTTAGTTGACTCTGGAGGCAATATTTGCTAGACTGGAAGTTTCCCAGAAGCTGTTAAATGGAGAGACGGTCATCCTCAGTTAATGTCCTCTCAGTACCAACAACTACTATGGTACAGTTCATCCACACAGTGTTAAATTTGGAGTAGACATCGTTGTCTAAAGGTCTATGGAGATTCTCAATCATCCAGTCACGGTTGTCCCAAAAATGCTTTTTCCAAAAGGCAACTGGACTTGCTTGGGTTTTTTTTTTTTCCCTTTAAAAACTTCTCATCCAAGAAGTTTTTCAGTTCTAACTGGTGGAGAATGGAATGGTTTATATTCTTTGCAGTCATCTGGTCATTAGCACTCTTCCTTTTGTTTGAAACAGGAGTCAAAAAAAGCCATCTATTTCAAAACTGAACAGTCCCTCTCTCAATAGAGAAGAAGGGATACGACACTACCTATCTCCTATATACAATCCAGTCCTTTCAGCAGTCCCAAGAACGTTCCAAGCTTAATTCAGGTGACTTTGAGCATACAGATAAACTTTATTTTACTTTTACTTTATTTTGGATTTATATACCGCTCTACTCCTGAAGGACTCAGGGCGGTGAACAGCCAAAAGATAAAACACACATAATACAAAATTTAAAAAACAATGTAAAAACACATTAAATAATTTGGCCCAAACAAATTAAAACACCCCTATTGTTTTAAAACAAATTTAAAATTAACAATTAAAAGGAAGTTAGGCCAGGCCAGCCTGTTGAAATAAAAAGGTCTTGAGGGCACAGCGGAAAGTGCGTAAATCCGGGATCCTCCGTATCTCCGGGGGGAGCTTGTTCCAAATGGCAGGTGCCCCCACAGAGAAGGCTCACCCCCTGGGGGCCGCCAGTCGATACTGTTTGACCAACGGCACCTGAGGAGCCCCTCTCTATGGGAGCGTACTGGCCGGTGAGAGGCTACTGGTGGCAGAAGGTAGTCTCATAAGTACCCAGGTCCTAAGCCATGGAGCGCTCTAAAGGTGGTAACCAAGACCTTGAAGTGCACCCGGAAGACCACCGGGAGCCAGGGCAGCTCGCACAGGAGAGGTGTTAGATGGGAATGCCACGTCGCTCCCATAACCACCCGCGCGGCCGCATTCTGGACAGTTGGAGCCTCCGGGTGCTCCTCAAGGGGAGCCCCATGTAGAGAGAGCATTACTACCCTATGTAGAGAGCATTACTACTATTACTAGTAATGCTACTACTAAACCCTCAAGGGACCGCAGAGAGAGCTAACCACCGATCCTCAAAGTCCCAATGACAAGATGACTGCAAAGAATATAAATCCTTCCATTCCCCACCAGTCAGAACTGAAGAAGCGTTTTTGGATGACAAGCAAATCGTTATCAAAAGAAAAAAAAAAACAACCCAAGAAAGTCCAGTTGCCTTTTGAAAAAAGCACATTTGGATATTCATTGTCTAATAATTAAGAAAGAGAAGGCAAAAGCAAATATCAAGACCTTATCTCCCTTTTATTCTTCTTAAGAGTTAACCTGACAAATAAAAAGAAAAATGTAAAACTCGTACAGAACACGCAAGCTTTTGAGTCCCTTGAATGCCCCTTCTGCAATGTGACTGATGGAATTGTGACTCAGGTGAAGGATCTCCAGGCTTCCCAGATCTGCTAAACTTCCTTTATCCAATCTGGTTAAGTTGTTAAATGACAAGGACCTGAGGGGGGAAAAAAAGAGCAAAATTTCAATGTGAAGCATTTATTTTTCCTTCTTGACAATAATTCTACTGGATAGTTCCTTTGTCCTAGAAATAATTTAGTTCATGAATATCCTAAATGTCTTTCCTATGGAAACAGGGTCAAGAATATCCAAGTCAGATAAAATATTTACTGTATGGGCAAAATAAATCCAGACGCTAATTCATTTGATTTAACCCAACAGCTCCTTCAGGTTCTCAGAATCTATTCATAGAGTTAAGCCCAAAGATTCCATCTAGTCATTGGCAAAATCAAAGTGTGTTTGCTTTCAGAGTGCGTTATCTTCAAGCTATCTTCAGGATCTTGGTTATATTACAGCAATCCTGCTAAAACATGGAAAGAATTGCCCTTTTTTTGAACCAAGGAAACGGGCATAAGATAGGATTGTAAGGGTGAAAAACGGTCATAAATCAGTCTTTTCAATGCCATTGTAACTTCAAAGGGTCACTAAATGAACTATTGTTAAGTCGAGGACAGCTTATGGTGAAGTGTGGAATAAAAAAGTGAATGATATCTGCCAAAACCAGGACAGTCAGGACAGAAACATTCCTAAATAAAAAAAGGGTATTATCTCCTTGGCAAGCATGTGACATGTTTTTTTGCAAACATGCACCAAGATAGCAATGGTATAACTCAGTGGTGGGATTCAATTTTTTTTACTACCAGTTCTGTGGGCGTGGCATGGCTTGGTGGGTGTGGCATGGTGGGCGTGGCAGGGGAAGGTTACTGCAAAATCCCTATTTCCTCCTGATCAGCTGGGACTCGGGAGACAGAGAATAGATAGGGGCAGGGCCAATCAGAGATAGTATTTACCGGTTTTCCGAGCTACTCAAAATTTCCGCTACCTGTTCTCCAGAACTAGTCAGAACCTGCTGAATACCACCTCTGGTATAACTACCAGTAGGAGCAATGGAAGGCCTTTGGAAAAGCTTTCCAAAAGGCAAGGGACAACATAAATTAATTCCCAAGGAGACTGTGGTGTCAAATTATGAAGAGATGGCAACCAGTCAACATTATTTCCTCACCTGTGATGAAAGAATTTTTCAAAAGGGGAACAGAGGGGGTTACATAGAAGAAATCCAATGCTAGCAGATAGCGCTAAGCACAACTGTTAAAAAAAACTCATAGTTGGCAGCAGATTGTTTTGTTTTGTTTTTTTTGTCAGAACTGTAGAGGCATGTTTCTTTTTTTGACATCAACTAAAATTAGCCAAGAGCAAATTTCAAAATGAAGCTTTGTAGTATCCCTCTCCAATCAGCCAGAAAGAGGCATATATTCACCCGAGTAGGGAAATACGTAGATTTATTTTAAAAAAAAACCACATTTTAATTCCAGAATGGGAAAGAAAACCTCTTCCTTAAGGGATTTGTGAACTCCTTGTATTCTGGATAAATCCACAACACCTGTATCCCTTGAATAACTGAATGTGTATCCTTAAAAGACATTTTCAATAGTTTTTTTTAACATTCCTTATCTGGCTATTTGGATAAAACTAAAACAGACATTAACAAGAGAAGCAAATACAGTGTCAAATGCTTGAGTTAAAGAAAAATCTCAAAGACCTCTAGGGACATCAACTGATATTCTCCATAAATCACAGACATTAAAAAAAAACATATATGCATGAACAAATATATAGACATTCAGTCCATTTTTTATCCAGTGTTTTAAAGATATTTGAAATTAAAATAAATTGTAATAAAAATATACAAATTCACCAAGCACAGTTAGATGCTGGAGAAAAGGTTTAAAAGCATCAAATAAATAATTGTTTCGTATTTATCCAGGTTAATAAAAAGGCTTTTTAAGAGAAGTTAGGGACAGATAAGGCTTGCTAGTGATGGAAACTAATATATCGATGCCGACTGCTGAAAATAATTTATCCAGGTGAAACAAACTTCTTTGATATGAGTGGTATTTGGAAAAAAAAAGATACAACTTTAGCACTGAAAATTATTGTGGAAGAAACAGTGTCTTAATATTCCCTAGTCCCAAATTTTCTAAGTTAAAAAGTAGCATTTTAAAAGAGGGGGAAATAATTGCATTCTATAAAACCTTCTAGAAACCTTTCTCTATTAAAGCACTGCCTACATATACTGTAGTGCCAGAGTTTCTATTTTTATTATCAGCGGTTGCCTCCCAAATTAGCAAACTTACAGTTCGTTCAGCTTTTGGCAGAAGTTCCATCCAGCAGGACTGATACTGGATATCAGGTTGTTACTCAGATGAAATTGTTGAAGGGACACCAGGCCATACAGGGAACCACCGTTCACTTCTGTGAGGACATTGTGCTCCAGGTGCCTACATGAAAAACCAAGTTGGACATTTTAAATTGCACACAAACTTCCATTGATTTTTCATACATTTTTTTTCTCAGGCAAAATTCCCCAAATCTGTAATTTCTTTATCATACTTAAGAAGAAGAAAAACCAAAATCCAAATAGCATGCTTATTTGATTTCTGGGATTATAGGCTGACATGAAATTCCTTGCATGGTGTTCCAATACCCCAACATTCTATTACTGATAAAAGTAAAGACACCTCCAGGTCAAAATTGACATTTCATAACTGCATGGAAATGCTCATTTTGGCAGTGAGACAGAAGTGATTTGCTGATGCCTGCTTCTATGATGTTTTTTGTAGTTTCCCAATGTAACTTAAGGATTTACTTCCTCCCTCCCTTTCTTTCTTCCTTCCTTCTTCACTCACTGCCACCCTCATTCTGAGTTCCACTTGGTGCTGCTGGCATCATAGGCCCTGTTACTGAATCAAACACCTAAACAAGGGGTATATAATCATTTTACATTCTAGGTCTGTACTGGAAAAGGTATTCAGGGCTAGGAGGCAACATAACCTTGATTTAAATTAATTAAAATTAACCTAATGTAGTTAACACAATTATTGTCCATGTATTTAATTATTTCCTCTTCCTTTACATTAAGAACCACTATTCAGAAATAGCTCTTGGAAATATGGCTTTGGGCTATAAATTGTGCACCTTTACAACTAACAGCAAAAGTCTATCTATGCTCTCCCAGAACTGAACCCACTTCATTCATAAGGACTGCCCAAAAGCAGACGTTTCAGGCACCAAAAATCACATATCTGCAATCATGCCATGATGTGTGGGGATGACTTCCTTGGTATCTAAAGAAAATGTCAAAAGAAATACAGTATTCCTTAAAATCTATCAGCATAACTATTGACTTACAGAACCTCCATTTTGGCCAGACCCCAGAAAGCTCCATCCGTCAACTTGCTTATATTGTTGCGCTGCAGCTTCAAAACTTCTAAACTGTCCAGTCCATGAAATGTCAACCCTTCTATCAAACGAATACGATTCCGGTTTAACTCTCTGAAAATGACCAACAACACAGAAGGATGTTAACTCAAGTCTTTCTCAATGGACTGATCTTCAAAAGCCAACACCAGGCATAGGTAAATTATCCCCCCCCCCCTCCCAATATTAGACCTGTTTTCTGTAAAAATGTATACATTCTACTTATATATAAAATACATTCTACAGTATTTTGTTTGTTTGTAAAAATTACGTTTTAGAATTCAATGGGATTCCTTTAGTGACCTTGTAAAAATATCAAAGTTTTCAACCATAAGATTTTTACCACAAACAGAAGGCAGTGTGTATTGTATTTCTTCCCAATATAGACATAATTTTATGCTATTAACATTTATTTCTTGCAGAAAATGGTTCAAAATCTTTGAATTTATTAAATTCTTTGTATATGTATAGAAGAAATAAATCTAATTTAATTCAGGTTGATTAGAATAAAAATGGTTTGTCTGGGACAATTAATAGTACGTGTGTAGTCCATAGGTATCTGGCACATAAGGGTAAATTTCTACCTCCCCAAACCTTAGCTGAGAAGTCCAGTGGTTAGAGATTATTGGTACTATAATCTAAAAACATCTGGAAGACAGGATTTCCACCTCTGCCATGTATTTCAATATAAGCAATAAGATAAATTTGAGTTTTTGACAACAGGAAAAATGAATATGTGAGTCATCTGAACAGAAAAAGTCATCCAAGAGAATAAAAGAAAGCTAAATTAACCACAAAAGCCAAATGGACCAAAACACTATTAATTTGATTTTAAAACAGAAGGGGAATATACTTCCTTGCTTATTTCACTTTAAAAAAACTTTCCTTATTTTTTGTACAGGTAGTCCTTGAATTATGACCTTTTTTTAAAGTGAATGTTCAAAGCTGCAGCGCTCCTATAGTCACATGAACAAAATTCAGCTCACACTTATGGCTGTAGGTTCCAACATCCTATAATCATGTAATTGTCCTTGCCAACTTTCTCTGCCAGCTTCCCACAGGTAAAATCAATGGGGAAGTTGATAGGAAAGGTCATAAATTACTCCCCAACTTTCTTCAATCACTCACTCGTGCTGCACCCTCCTTTCCCCTGTGATTGCACGCACCTATCAGTTCCCTCATTTCCTGGCTTTTCTCTGTGTTCACACACATCCACTGGCACCTTCTTCCTCTGTGCCTCCTTGCACTCATACTCACACACGCACACAACACCAGTGCCCTCCTTTTCTGAGCCTCCCTGGACTTGCACAAAGGGACGCACACACCAGTGACTTCTTTTCCTGGCCTGAGTTCGTGCCACACATGCCAGCATTTGTGCAACATGCACTGGGCTTCCCAAGACCTGCCCCTCTGTGGCAATCCTACATTCCTTGCCTGGAACTCTCCCAGATTTCCACTTAGTGACCCATATGTCTTTGGGTTATGATGACAACTAGGACTGCCTGGATTGCTGCCGTTAAGCAATGCGGTCACATGATGTTGCCCTTTACGGCTGCATCACTTAGCAATGGCAATCTTGATTCCAATTGCCATTGTAATCCAAGGACTACCTATATTATGTGAAATCTTACACTAACCATGCTGAATCTAGTCTTTGAGTTGGGTTCCAAACTTCAAGAAAGGAGCAAGCAAATGTTGATGCCAAAGGTCAATTATATGTACATAAAGCGCTGTCGCAGATGCAGATCAAATGCAGCCTAAATTGTACCTTGGCCAAACAAACAACACGTGCGCAAACCATCAAAAGCACCCTTTGTCTACCTAAATGCCAACTCCGCATTCTTCCCTCCTTACAGTTTGAACACCGTATGTGAAAACAGAGTTTAAGAGAGCACTCTCAACCCTGCTTTTCTTTCATTGGGTGTCCACAAAATCAAAGTAAAACCCAGAAAGAGAAAGCTAGACTCTTTTTTTAAAAATATGCACACACACGCAACTGACATAAGGAAGAAAATTCATCACATATATTCTAGTTAATGAATACTCAGATATTTTCCTTCCTTTCTTTTGGTCCTATTAAGAATGTAAACTGAACAGTCAATCCAGGACAGAGCCACATCCAATTTTTATCTCATTCATATCACAAAAGACCATTAGAATATGCTTTAATCAACATTTCATACATTCAAGCTGAAAGATTGTGTATGGCGAAGTGTCCTTAGGGAGCTAAAGCCTGGCGAGTTGTAATTAAACTGCACATTTCTACTCACAGTTGTGTTAGATGGGGCAGTTTGAATGCTTTGACGGGAAGTTGGACAATTCTGTTTTTATTCAGGCGAAGCGTCAGCAGGGATCGTGACAAGCTGTTAAAAGCTTTGGTCTCCAGGACGCTGATTCTGTTGCTCCCCAGGTAGCTGTAATAATTTATAAAAGAACACTCAAAATGGTTGTGTCGGAGGTCTTGATTAGTCCCTCTTTATCTGAGCAGGTGGTGACATCAGATACGCTGTTTTCAGAAACCAAATGTCTTCCCACTCTAACAACAATCAAGCCATTTTGTACAATTTATAGGCAGGTGATGATTAAAAGATTCCTCTGATACTGAAGCACCTCCAGTCAGCCAGAGCTTCCTTCCCTACGTCGATGTCTTTTGTTGAACTAAAGCTTCCAAAATTTTCTATTGTTTTTTGCGCTTTGAATTCTGGAGTAGTAGTCCAGATGAGAAAGAATGTCCATACAGGACATCAAAGCCAAACCAAAAGCACAACAAATATACATTGTACATATAATAATCTTTGGAAAAGATCCCGATGTTGGGAAAGATTGAAGACCAAGGAAGAAGGGGACGGCAGAGGATGAGATGGTTAGATAGTGTTTTTGACGCAATGAATATGGAGTTTTGACAGACAGTGGAGGACACAGGGGCTTAGTATGCTGTCGGCCATGGGGTCACTAAGAGTCGGAAACGACTTAGCGACTGAACAACAAGTAAGTATAATACTGAAAGTAAGACAACTGTATTCCATCTAGATTAAACATTCATTTCTGAAAAAAATAGTTTCAATTACACTAGCCATTCTTAAAATGGGAATGACAGCTTCTTCATTCACAGGGATGTGAAAGAACAAGTCTACTGAGATAATAAATTCTTTTTCTATCTAACTAGAATCCCAAAATCTATCAAACAGATCTGAATGCATAGTAATGGATGAAATGTGATGAGCACCAATGATGTAAAATAATAGTTCAAGAGGAAAAGCCAATGGCATACTGCCAGCCACAAGCTTTATAAAGACAACACTCTTAAATTAAGAGAGTTGGGATTGTTAATTGCAATTAATCCAGTGATCATCTATGTCTCCAGACCCTCAAAATATTCAAATGTTTTGATTTTTATAACTGGCTTATCTGTGAGTGACATGTTTTTATGGTATTTGTCTTATCCACCAATGGGTTTATCCAGAAGTATATATGAGCCCCTTAAAAAATATATTATTATATATACTTGCAGATAAGCCCATCTGCGTATCAGCCACACCCAATTTTGGGGGGTATAGTTTAGAGCAGGGGTCCAAACCCCAGACCATGGACTGGCATCGGGCTGCAACATGCCAGAAACTGGGCCACGCAAACAAGCGAAGCCCCATTCACAGGATGCAGGCAGCATGCAAAACTACGCCCTCTCTGGTCCGTGAAAAAACTTCTCTCCACAGAACGGTCCCTGGTGCCCAAAAGGTTGAGGGCTGCTGGTTTAGAACCTAAAATTCTCATCTATAAATTTATACTCTCTCCGTCTCTTTCTCTCTCTTCATTTTCCTTTATTACCATTCAACTGCTGTACAGTTGAAAATAATTGATGACGGGATGATGTTGCTTAAAAATTTTGGCTCCCATGTTTTGTCTCAAACCATTTTAAATGTAAAGAAAGACAATACAGGTACAGTTCCACTGTATATCCCCCCACTGATTAATGGAGATCAATTCTGACATATTGTTGCATCAGAAATCAGAGAATCTGACTCTTCACTTTAAAAAACGTGTTCCTCAAAACGGACATATACAGCATCATGAAATGTTGCAGCATGAGCATTTTAATTCTAATTCAAGATAATTAAGAAAAATAAGAAAGACATTTTAATTTAAAAATCTGAGGGAAGAATTTTGTCTATTAGCTATTTGTGATAGGTATATATGACAGAATATTGAACTTAGTGTAACTTGCACTTTCATTCCTCACACCTCTCATATTAGCTACTATAAGAGGCCATGAGAAAAAGATGGACAGAAAAACCCAGTTTCCATATCAGCTCAACAGGAAGAGGAAGAAGAGGATGAGAGAGAGAGAGAGAGAGAGAGAGAGAGAGAGAGAGAGAGAGAGAGGGAGAGAGAGAGAGGGAGAGAGAGAGAGAGGGAGGGAGGGAGGGAGGGAGGGAGGGAGGGGGAGAGGGGGAGAGGGAGGGAGAGAGAGAGCAAAAACCAAGTATCACTGTTCCATTCCTTCCATAGCATAACACGATCAATGAAAGAACTGGATTATGGAGATGACGTAGATCAGGGGTGTCAAACTCCCAGTCCGTAGTCTGATGTGTCACGTGCTGGCCACGCCCACACCTGGTTTAGCAAAGGGGAAAAAAGTCATGATACATCACGTGACGACTCTGTGATGATGTGAGTTTGATACCCCTGATATAGATGAGCAGCATTCATTTGCGTTTTAACCCATGTTATAACCGGTAACCCTTTTTTAAAAAGATCAAAGTAACCTGAAAGTCAGTTCTTCTTGTATAAATGACTGCTTTTCCATAAAACATTTTAAAAAGAAAGAAAGAAAGCTTACAGATCCTTTATGGGAAGCCCCACCGGGAAACAGCCACTTCGGATTTCTGTGATGTTATTTGAGCTGAGGTCTAACGTTTCCAGGGATACATAGGGCTCCAGCTGGCTGGCTTCGATGCTGTGGATTCGGTTGCGATTCCTGCCACACAGAATGAAGAAAAAGTCAGACATAAATTCACTTTTTGCCCTTCTGGGTTAGAATATAATAGTACATCCATACAGCAAGACACAGGTCTTTGTAACTGATCTGGCACTTTGCATCGGATGCAGTAAGGGAGTACAGCAGAATTTAGAGAGGGAAGATAAAACTTGTTATTAGAATGACAGAAATTGACGTGGATAAGCAGAATACTGAGGAATTTATCCAGCTGAAACAAAGACCACTTTGAAGCCATAAGTTTAAGACTATGATCTACTGACTATGCTATTGTTTATTTAACCATCATTGTTGAATAAACAATGACTGGCTGAGTCTACTTTTGGTGCTCATCTATAAACTGTTCTGATCTACTGTGGCTAGATTCACACATCACATTCTGACAAAACCAATGCCCATTACGATTTAGCACAGGGGTCTGCAACCTTAAACACTCAAAGAGCCATTTGGACCTGTTTCCCACAGAAAAGAAAACACTGGGAGCCACAAAACCCTTCCCGTGCCTGACTATTTTTTGAGCGGCCACAAAACAAGCATACAATATGTAGTTGAATTAAATGTTCTGTTTTCTTCTGAAACTTTTCTTTTCTTGGTTGTATCCATAGTTGGCCTACCAGGGTTGAAAAGCTCAGTTTATCGTGTGCTGGCGGATGTCGCACATTGGCGGTTGTGACGCATATTTTGAGTGACAGGGAGACGCAGCAGAGGGGTGAAAGAGCCACACGCGGCTCCAGAGCTGCAGATTGCTGACCCCTGATTTAGCACCATGTGTGAACCTAGCTAAGAGTCCTTGCTCGGCACCCAGTCAGTTACTGTAATATATAATTTAAGACAGAAATAACTACACACAGAATGAAAAACTGTGTAATATCTGTATTCCTGAGGAACGTTTAAATTGAGTTAAAATTGCAGTCACAGGCTGCCTTAGCTGAGATTATAGATTAAGCAAAATCAATTATGCAGGTTGTCATTGTACTGTATTACTGAGTAAACAGGTGAGACCTTGATTGGGCAACATGGAGAAGGAAGGCTTAACTACAGGTGGATATCCTTTGGGAGTATAATTGAATCTCCCAGTTTGCCAGAGAAGCCAATATTTTCTCATGAATGAAGGTGAATATATATGTCACAGGATAATGTTGCAGGATCCAATCTGGGTCAGTCACTGGAACTAGAGGTTTAGTCTTCCGAGCTTTTGGACTTGTGCTGGAGCCCATCCCCAGGGAACTTCTAGAACAGAGGTGTCAAGCTTGATTTCATTGAGGGCCACATCAGGGTTTTGTTTGACCTTGGGGGACTGGGGTGGGCGTGACCAGGGTGGGCATGGCCAGCTTGATGTCACTCATGTCATGGCCCGAGCCACAGCGAAAACGGGCTCCCACACTCCATTTTCAACTGCGACAGCCTCCTGCAATCCTCTCCCAGAAAAACCAGTGCTTGGGAGGGCCGCACGCAGCCCTACTGAACTCTACTTTCACTGGCAGAGGCACTGCAGGCTGGTCCTTCGCTGTTTCCAAGGCGGCCCCAAGGGCCAAATCTAAGCATCCCATGGGCCGGATCTGGGCCCTGGCCCTTGAGTTTGACACCCCTGTTCTAGAGAGAGCACACATTCTGCTAGAGAAAAGTTCCCTGAGGATGGGCTCCAGCATGAGTCCAAAAACTCAAAAGACTAGATCTCTGGTCTCAGTGACAGCCCCAGATTGGATCCTCCAATATTTTCTGTCATCCCCCCCTTCCCCTTTTTCAAGGGGAAAATGGGAATGTATAGCTGGATGCATACTTCTTTCCACTATGCAAAGTAGAACTAAATCCAGCATTTTTTCTCTTAATAAATCAAAACGGAGAGTGGAACATTAAATAACTAATGAGACAAGGAGTTTCATCCTTGATCTTACTCAGAGGGTCTATGGCTGAAGTTTCTTCAGTCAAACTTAACTTGCCTCAGAAACTGAATTTGGTTTGTCTCCAGAACTGAAGAACCTTTCTACGAATCACATTAATACTTGCTATTTACACAGACACAGGACTTAAATCAGGAGGTAAGGTGTTGATGTTAGACTGCAGCGTGGATGGCGTGAGAAATGACAGAGTAAAACAGGTGGTGCTACTTCAAACAATCCTGGCTTTTCTAGGAATACCGAAGTATGCTTTAGAGGGTAAGATTATATCTTAATCCCGATGAGTAGGCTGTGCTAAGTATCTGTGTGAATATTTATTGGAAAGTCTTTCAGCAAGTAACATTACCTGGGAGGAGGAAGACTAACCTGAGCATAGAGATGATTAGGCTCCTCCATAATGGAGGTTATTTCTGAAGAATGGGAAAGCAAGATGAAACCATACAGTTGGCCTTCATCTAGGATCATCTTACAGAATTAGTCAGTGCTTTTTTTTAAAGTCTTAACAATTCTACCTTCTGCAAGCAAAAAAACCAAGCTTCAAATCACCAGAGAACTCAGCAAAACATTATTTTAATTCTGATACAATAATTTTCAGATCCATAGTTCTTTTTAGTTTATCAATTGAATTTTCAACCAACATTGTATACACATATTGGACATGTCCCAAGAAACATATCACCATAAATGTTCTTACACATTTTCTATATGTTCATCACACAATCAATAGGACATTATACGTCACCAATTTTGCATTATTCACTACCCATTTCACTGCACTCAGCAATCCTCATACTGCTTTATTTCTATCACATATTGCTCTTCACAGCAATCCACAGTAAAACTTTAATTTTACACCTGTTCACTTTGTCATTAGTTTTCATTAAGCCAACAAAACACAACTATCACTTTCACACATTTCTTAATGAACAGCTAAACAGTAGAAATCTGATCCACAACCCCATAACTGAGCAGAGAGCCACACTGCACTTTAAAATTTTTGTTCACTATTGCCTTTCACACTTTTTCAATAAAAACTTTGACACACAACTTATGCATTCTTGCCCACATACCACAGCATGATGGTGCATGTTATATACTGAACATATGCAGGATTCAATAGTCAAAACACTGAGAACTTTAAGACAATAATACATGGAGCTGCAGAGGCTTCCCTCTTTTGTCCTATGAGGCAGGCAAGAACTCTTATAAATACAAATAATCTTATTCTTGATCAGAGAATCTCCAACTTGTTGCCCCAAAGATTGCTTGTCCCCAGAATGAGCAGCCACATACTGACCAAATTTTTTGAACGTGAAACTATTGGTTTTACTCTGATGATAGAATGATCTTTGATCCAACATAAAATTATGCCAGTGGAATGGGGGGAAGAAGAAAGGTTCTTCACAACGATGTGTGTGTATATGAGAACACAGGGGGGGGGGCAAGAAAATCTGTGCCTCCTCCTACTTTGGAAGGTCTTTCAATCAGTCATTCCTGCCCTATTCACCTCAAGATTTGTCGATTGCAGTGTGCTGTACACAGGGCTAACATAGCAATCAGAAACTTCAACTAATCCACAAGACAGGTTGCCAGTTTGCTTCTGGATGTGATACAAGGCTATAAAGCTTTACCTGGCATAAAGGTAAAGGTTCCCCTGAACATGCATGCTAGTCGTTTCCAGCTCTAGGGGGCGGTGCTCATCTCCGTTTCTAAGCCAAAGAGCCAGCGCTGTCCGAAGACGTCTCCATGGTCATATAACCGGCATGACTCGATGCCGAAGGCGCACGGAAAGCTGTTACCTTCCCACCAAAGTGGTCCCTATTTTTCTACTTGCATTTTTTATGTGCTTTCGAACTGCTAGGTTGGCAGAAGCTGGGACAAGTAACGGGAGCTCACTCTGTTTCACAGCACTAGGGATTCGAACTGTAGAACTGCCAATCTTCTGATTGACAAGCTCAGCATATTAGCCACTGAGCCACCATGTCCCCCCTCACCTGGCATAGGATCAGTTTATTTGAGAAATTACCTGGCCCCATGGTTTCTACCTAGCCAGCATGTGCCAACAAAACTGACACAATGAAGGTCCCTTGGATTACACAGTGCCATCTGTAAGAATCCAGAAAGCATGCCTTCTCTTGTTATGGTGCCTGCCCTCTGGAGTAAGATCCTCCCTGAAACCCATATAGCCCCACCCTGTTGATATTCTGTACAGTAATTTTGTTCTTCATTTAATTCACGTCTTTATTATTTTTCTAAATAACTCAAGGTGATGAACACACATAATACTCCTTCCTCCTCCTATTTCAAACATAACAACCTTGTGAGGTGGACTGGGCTGAGAATGTGATTGGCCCAAAGTCACCCAGCTGGTTTTCATGCCTAAAATGGAACTAGAACGCATAGTCTCCTGGCTTACTTAACCACTAGACCAAACTGGTTCTTTGCGTTGAAGATTTGGTTGTCCTCCCAGGCCTTGAGTGGAGACGAGTTCAGCCCAGTGGTGAAATCTGAACCGGTTTGCTGGCCGCACATGCGCTCCAAGAGTGCACTGTGTGCGTGCATGTGCAGTGCGCACCAAATGCATATTGTGCATGCCCATGTGTAGTACGCACCAAACGTGCGCTGCATGCATGTGCATGCACAGTACACACCAAAAGGAGATTTGGGAACGTAAGTAGAGCAGCGGGGGGGGGGATCAGCTGTGCCGCGTGATTTAGGTTCACTAGAAAGCAGGATTTCCTGTTTTCTAGAGATTTTAAATCGTGTGGCATAGCTGATCGTCAGAAATACTGGTTCGGAGGAACCATTAACTTTTTTTTTACTACCAGTTTGCCTGAATAGGTGCGAATCTGTAGCATTTCACCACTGGTTCAGCACTTTTTGGGATGTCTCTTTGTCTATGGCTGTCCAGAATGACTGGATTTTATCTTGTTCTGTTTTGAATTTTTATGCTGTATTATATTGAGAATCAGTTGGAGTTGGTCAGTGACTACATGAATTAAATAAATAAATAAATGAATAAAATCTACAATGGGGAACCTAGATTTCCTAACATAATTTACTGATAGCCAGAGGAAGATGGTA